TATATATATATTACCACATTTCAATATAATTTAAACTTTAACTAGATATGCTCTTTTCTTATACAGAACATTTCATCTTTATTTAAACATTTTAATCACAATTTGAATAATTATATAAATCTGAATTACTTTAACGCTGACTGTTCCAGCAATAATTCCATCAACAGTTGATTCCGTGAAGGGATCGAATTTTCTATCAGTTCTTCTCATGAAGTCTGGTTTTAAGAGATAACCACATCTACCATTGTACTCGAAAATTCCCAGATTGAGCTGCATTCCTAAGTCTACAAGTCAATGAGAAAAAAAAGAAAAGAATGATCACAATATAATCGACTAATTACGATAATGCAACCTAGCATAAAGTATTAATAATAAATGCGTAAAAACATAATAGAATATGAATTAAATGTAATTACTGATGAATGATGATACTACAGCACCCATCGATAAATTAATTTTTCCGAAATATTCTTAATGTAACCCTTTAAAAAAGATAGTTTAAGGAACACACATTTCAAATGGTATTGGAATAAGTAGCTTTTTGCATAAAGTTTGAAATTTACAGTACTAAATAAAACTAAAAAAAAGTTATTGTTAAATTTGTGCGAGGGCAGTATCTTATGAACTTATTCCTAATTCATTAACTCAATACCATACATATGTACAGAGCACAAAGTATAAAACGGAACACTCTAAATAGCTTTGATCTATCTGTTATATTTTCACGTACTAGGACTCATTGGTTCAAGGCTCTAACCATAAATATGGTAATTAATTAAAACGGACGGTATTTTAAGTTACAAAATCAGACAAAAAACATATTTTTTCTGACCAAACATGCCTTTTTTTCCCAATGGTTTCGATTCTTATCTCCGATATGGGGTTAATCGCAATCTGAGAAATATTGTCCCAATAGTTTAGTCAAGAGAGAAATTAGAAGTTTGAACCCCTTAATGTTAATTTCTCATCTAGCGGATTTCGCTGTAATTGGAAAAATTTTACACGTGTCGAAAATTTTTGCATAAATATAACGTGTTTGATGCTACTTGATTAAAAATTTTCATTAGCTTTAAGAATATGTAGATTCGAAATAACTGTCAGCATGTTTCTAGTGCTCAAAAATAGGCGCCAAATATCAAGACTTTCCAGATGTGAATGAGAAGAAACAAAACTGATTTGAAGTATAAAACGTAAAGATGATAATTAAAAATGTTAAATAAAGAGGAGAAACAAAACTAGAAAAACCTCAGTAGCCGAGAGAAAATAAAAACTATTCTTTCTCGACTACTGAGATTTTTCCAGTTTTGTTCAATAGCTTTTAAATAGTTAATACAAGAGAGAATATTATAGAATTTAAATATGCAGCTCTGTCTACTACCTAAATAGCTTCTCTCAGCTACTGATGTTTTTACAGTTTTGTTACTCACATTTATTTTCTATTTTTCGTTGTCAACTTTATGTTTCATATTTCAAATCACTTTTGCTTCTTTTTATTCACGTCTTGCAAGTCTTGAAAATAAGCACCCATTTTTGAGCGCTTGAAACTTGTTGACTGTTATTTCGAATCTGTATATTTTTGAAGCAAATAAAGTTTTTAAATCAAGTAATTTCTCACTGCTTCAGTTTTTTAGGATTATATATTTAACATTTGGTGTTATTGTCTAAACGAGAATGATTTTGTGGAATGACACACCCTTACAATTAGTGGTTTCATCACAAAGTGAAATATTTAGAATGAAATCTTTACATTAATTCTCTTTTTGAAAGTTTCAAGAAAAATCAAGTTTTTTTTAAAGAATTTAAATTGTAATAGATGAATTTATTTTTGCCATACATTAAACTAAAGCAGAATATCAGCGAACGGTCTTTTGCGAGTTGTTTTAATTGTTCCAGCGAGAGAAATATCCCCAAGCTACGCGCTCCGTGTGTTGTCCAATCAGACCATTTCATTATCATGTTAAAATTATGATTATTAAAATTGATTCGGCTTAGAATTGCAAATCAAATTTGATAATGATTTTGAAATCTATTGATTTGCGTTTAACATGTCATTCTTAGCAAAGTGAAATGCTCTAGTATTTTAATTAACATATGCCAATATTTATTCTCCTGTAAGGCATACATTGAAATTGATTTCATTTCGGCTTTAGATGTACCTTTCTGAGTTGAAATGAAATTATTACTTAATAAACTACCAAGTTTGTTGACACTAGCCCCATAGCCTGTCCATATTAGCCCCGTGAAATTAGGCTAAGTGAGGACAAAAACAAGACTAAGTGAGGATCTTTTTTAAAAATTCTGGAAAGCACTAAATAGCTTTGTTGTTCTAGATGTAAGTCCGAATCCAGATAATCGGTTAAATTATTCTTAAAAAATACTTCACGAGTTAAAAATTATATTCAACATGGTTTTTTGACAATTTTCAAGGAATGTCTACACTAACCCCCCCCTCTCCCTCTATAAATTTTTTCAATGAATATAAAAAAATGTAATTTTAAAATGCACAAGTTAAACGAAATTGGATGAATATTTCTTGTGAGATCAAATTTTAGTTATCTAACTTTTTTAAAATTTGATTCGACCGATTTCGTTTGAATTTTGCATTTTTCCACGATTGTATCAGTCGCTTGTCGAAGCCAATAGCCGTAGAGCATCTACAAAATCAAGACGAGAAAGATATTCAAAAAAGGTCCATCTCATGTCCTTCTTGCAATCAACAGCAATCAAGAAGATTGTTGGAGAAAGTATGCAGCTCTGTCTACTACCTAAATTAACTTTTAAGGTCTGCGCATTGGTCCGTATGGATTACAAGTACATGGGGGTAATTTTTATAAATATTTCTGATAATATCCATCTAGCTTCAATAGTGTCCTGAGTGTTCCCATAGCCAAACTGTTGAACACATTTTTTAAAATTGATGAAATTTAAATATTTCTATTCGATAATTGTCCATACACAATCCTTTAGCTCTAAAATCTGCTTGCACAGATCGCAAACTTTTATTAATGACATTTATTTTTATTCTTCTGAGCACTATTTTAGTAAAAATTCCACTGCATAAATTTAACAATGAAGTTCTTCGCCAGTTATCCATCAGATTACTTTTCTTTGGTAGTTTTATCTGAAAGCTTACGTCCCAGTCATTCGCCATATTTTCTGTTAAACATGTTAGCGAAAGCTGTAATTGCAATTTTTGAACTTTCACTCTCTTCGACTCTCTCAATCGTTATTACAATACTTTATAAATCTTCATGTTTTCTAGTCAATACGTTAATTTGCGATGCACCAACTTATTTTAGAACTTACTACTTAACCAGATAACACAGTTTAGTATTAATTAGTTAGATATTAATTAACTAAGTATTAATTAACTAGAAAACAAGCATTTTAAATACCTAACTCATTCTAATGCAGTAACTCCCTTTGCCCATTTGGTAGAATAAGTTTTAAATAAAAAATTTTCTTCGATTTGGTAGGGTTGAGAAAATTTAATGACACAGGATTGCTAGACTGAGCTAGTCATTAGGTTTGTTTAGATTTTTTTTTAACTAGAAATATTAATTTGCGTCAATTTAAGTTTAGTTGAAAAAGAAATATTTACTTTCATTTTTAAAAAATATCGAAATTTTTAATCTGAACGTAATTGAAAAGTTGATTTGTTTAAGATTGTTAACTAAACTGAAGGTAAAAATTTGAATAACTTCTTGAAATCTGTAGACAAGTACAGAAAGTATTTGCCTGATTCATAGATAAATTTAAGGTAAAAATTAAACAATAATTTTCCACACAGGGAAAAAAAATCTGCTAAAATTACCGTACTAAATAGGGATAACACTTGTGGCAAAACAACCATAATTCTGGTTAATAAAACAAAATATACGGTATAAGCCATGCATCCGGTAATTTTTTCCACTCATATGCTAACGTTTTACTAGAAATCTTTCTAGTTTTCAAAATTATAGTTTTTATTACCACACATTTAGTATCAAATACAAAATCGAAAAGTAAATTTGACCGAATAATGCTCTAATAATGCATAACCGACCCATGCTCTGAGGTAACAAGATAAAATTACCAAATTTTATCATATTTAATCTATATTATTTTATAATTTATCACCAGTATTTTTTATACAGTCTTATCTCATATTATAAAGCCATGTTTTACCTAAATCATTACTAGAGACTTTCAGTAAAATTTACTGAGTTTTTTGGTGCTCCCATGTAGCCAGAAATACTGTAATTTTACCACATTATGGTAATTTTGATCATTCTTTTACCCAAATCTAAAAATCCCGCATATTTAAAATTTTTTTTTTAATTTCTTTGTCCCTTCCAACAAGGCTATAAGCAAATAAATTTACACTATTTTGAGTAAAGCAATTCCGTGCAAACAATACTAACATACAATGTGAATGTGCATAATGAATTATTTCACAATTTTTTCTGGTTTAAAAGTTAAAAATACAATTTACAAACAATAAAATGGTCTATTTTTCAGTTCAAATCATAAATTTGTACAAAATAACCATATTATTGATAACAGTGTTTGCTAATAACTCTAATGTAGACCGTCAGAGAATTAGGCTTAATAAATGTCACTCCAATCCCATTGGTCAATATTTAAGATGATGGTCCTTGTGAACCTTCATGCGATGAGATAATTAGTTTGGTATTATCCAGCGAATAAATCTCTATTATAGTAACCAAGCTATAATCCGGAATGATTAAAGTACAATTCGTTCTCCTTCTATTCCAAAGCTATTCAGAAATAATGATAATGCTCTATTATATTAAATGCTTGAATATTGCATTACCCAACTGAGCTTTATAGTCTATGAATATTCAAGGTAGGTTTAATTAAATTTAATCAAGAGGAAGGCGTTTCTATGAAGTATAGTTTTCAAACTAAAGAAAGCAATTTATATATATATATACACTCTAAATAGCTTTGATCTATCTGTTATATTTTCACGTACTAGGACTCATTGGTTCAAGGCTCTAACCATAAATATGGTAATTAATTAAAACGGACGGTATTTTAAGTTACAAAATCAGACAAAAAACATATTTTTTCTGACCAAACATGCCTTTTTTTCCCAATGGTTTCGATTCTTATCTCCGATATGGGGTTAATCGCAATCTGAGAAATATTGTCCCAATAGTTTAGTCAAGAGAGAAATTAGAAGTTTGAACCCCTTAATGTTAATTTCTCATCTAGCGGATTTCGCTGTAATTGGAAAAATTTTACACGTGTCGAAAATTTTTGCATAAATATAACGTGTTTGATGCTACTTGATTAAAAATTTTCATTAGCTTTAAGAATATGTAGATTCGAAATAACTGTCAGCATGTTTCTAGTGCTCAAAAATAGGCGCCAAATATCAAGACTTTCCAGATGTGAATGAGAAGAAACAAAACTGATTTGAAGTATAAAACGTAAAGATGATAATTAAAAATGTTAAATAAAGAGGAGAAACAAAACTAGAAAAACCTCAGTAGCCGAGAGAAAATAAAAACTATTCTTTCTCGACTACTGAGATTTTTCCAGTTTTGTTCAATAGCTTTTAAATAGTTAATACAAGAGAGAATATTATAGAATTTAAATATGCAGCTCTGTCTACTACCTAAATAGCTTCTCTCAGCTACTGATGTTTTTACAGTTTTGTTACTCACATTTATTTTCTATTTTTCGTTGTCAACTTTATGTTTCATATTTCAAATCACTTTTGCTTCTTTTTATTCACGTCTTGCAAGTCTTGAAAATAAGCACCCATTTTTGAGCGCTTGAAACTTGTTGACTGTTATTTCGAATCTGTATATTTTTGAAGCAAATAAAGTTTTTAAATCAAGTAATTTCTCACTGCTTCAGTTTTTTAGGATTATATATTTAACATTTGGTGTTATTGTCTAAACGAGAATGATTTTGTGGAATGACACACCCTTACAATTAGTGGTTTCATCACAAAGTGAAATATTTAGAATGAAATCTTTACATTAATTCTCTTTTTGAAAGTTTCAAGAAAAATCAAGTTTTTTTTAAAGAATTTAAATTGTAATAGATGAATTTATTTTTGCCATACATTAAACTAAAGCAGAATATCAGCGAACGGTCTTTTGCGAGTTGTTTTAATTGTTCCAGCGAGAGAAATATCCCCAAGCTACGCGCTCCGTGTGTTGTCCAATCAGACCATTTCATTATCATGTTAAAATTATGATTATTAAAATTGATTCGGCTTAGAATTGCAAATCAAATTTGATAATGATTTTGAAATCTATTGATTTGCGTTTAACATGTCATTCTTAGCAAAGTGAAATGCTCTAGTATTTTAATTAACATATGCCAATATTTATTCTCCTGTAAGGCATACATTGAAATTGATTTCATTTCGGCTTTAGATGTACCTTTCTGAGTTGAAATGAAATTATTACTTAATAAACTACCAAGTTTGTTGACACTAGCCCCATAGCCTGTCCATATTAGCCCCGTGAAATTAGGCTAAGTGAGGACAAAAACAAGACTAAGTGAGGATCTTTTTTAAAAATTCTGGAAAGCACTAAATAGCTTTGTTGTTCTAGATGTAAGTCCGAATCCAGATAATCGGTTAAATTATTCTTAAAAAATACTTCACGAGTTAAAAATTATANAGAAGAATTTGCGATTATACAGAATGGCTGGTGAAGTCAAAATAAATAAATGAGTCAAATAAGTCAAACATTTGCATACCTAGCAATTCAAAAATTTTTCGATTATAATTAAATAATTTAATAAGAAATAGTAAATAATCATTAAAAAAAAATTTTCGATTTTTTTTTAACATAACATATTTTTTTTAAACATTTTTTTTCATAACAACAACGAAAGTTCCAAGAAAAATCAAATAGGTATGAATAGAAAAACATACTTTTTGCACTATTTCTGTATCTGTATAGACATACAAATTATAAAATTGTAAAACTGAGCAATTTGTAAAAACAATTATTCAAAAATATCTCCGTTTTTAAGAGCCGATATTACGAAAAATTATTACACAAATGTCGATTAGAACAAGATACATAATTCGGTATTTGATTAAAAGTTTATTGACGGTCAATTTGCTTTCTTACCCAATGATTGATAATTAAGAGCAACCATTTGACATCCAGCATTCCAGAAAACCTGAAAAAAATGCATGAGGATTATAAGTTTCTTGTTATAAAATAAATACAGAGTTCCAAAAAAGAGTTGAAAATTTTCAGAGAATTAATATTTAAAAGAGGTAAACAAAACAATGCGTCATTACAACACCATATGTCTTAATGAAGTGAAATCCATTTATTTATTTAATACAGATGGAACTATTTAAGCATAAATTTAAATATTTTCTTTGCATGATAAAAATATCTGGGCAGATTATACAATGAACTATTCAAATAGTTGATTATAGTGAAACTTAATTTTTTATAAATATGGATGAAGAAGGTGGAAGAGGAAATCGTGGTGAAAAAGTGATATGTTTAACCGCATTGATGAATTGAAGGCTGGAAAAAAAACGAAAAGTTTCTGTTAAGCTCGGTTAAGCTGTTTTACCTGTCACCATATTTTTACAGGAAACAAATTCACGTTGCTATGAAATGAGTCTCTATTTTTCCATTTAATTTTTACTTACTAAACTGTGGTGTTAAGCCAAGCATTGATTTTTATAATACAGTACCCAGATTTATTTATCGGGATTTACATACTATATATAACAGATATTGCATCTTGTTCCATGCATCTTGTTCAATACTATATATAACAGATGTGGCATCTCGATATTGCATATTGGATCAATATAGAACGCTAGCAGGAATACTAGGAGGGGAAAAATATGGAATACTAATAGAGGAGCAAATATGGATATTAGAAAAGAAGAAAATTTGGAATATTAGTATATCGCAATCTGAATGACAAACATGGTATATTAGCAAGGTGTTAAGTATGGAATACTAGCGAGGTGATAAATATGGTATACTAATAGGGGACCACATATGGAATAGTAGCAGGGTGACAAATATAAAATACCTGAGAGTGGCAAATAAGAGAAATTAACAGGGTGGAAAATATGAAGTATTAGAGGGACAAATAGGGAATTTTTGTAGAGAGACAAATAAGGAATTTTTGCAGAGAGACAAATAAGGATTCGTTCTAAATTTATGATAAAATAATCTCGAACAGTCTGTCAATCCAATTAACCATAAAGTTTACGGCAAAGAACATTTTTTACATTTTTGATTTCGAAACCATTTACATCTTATGTAGTTAAAAACCATTTACAGCTAGTATGGTATCAAAACTGCAAAACAGAAATTCAACTGGATATAGTTTAGCAGTTTTATGGTACTGACATCAATGCGGAAGTGACAGAATCGTTTTCTAACTATCAGGGGCAACAAATTTGGAAAATTCGGAACACTAGAAACTCTTCATGTGTTGAAGGAAATAAAGGAAATATCACAGTGGCAACGCTAAGAATCGAACACCCTTTTTATCAGCCATGAGATTGACAGATATGCCCTCTTGACTATAATATCTACCCTTCTGCCAGGAACAAAGTGACTTTATTAGGAGGCCTAGTAAGTGCGATATAATTTTGATTGTTTAACCGTATTAGTAAAAAACAGTTAATAAGCGGTTTTCTTACAATAAACAGTTTGAATACCATCTTATTTATTATTATTTGACTGTTTTATTTGAATATGGTAAAACAACAATTAAATAAATTGTTATTTAACCATTTTTCCGAGAAATTTCACACAATGAATGAGAGAATTGTAAATAAGAGAAACTAGCAGGGTGAGAAATATGAAAGGAACAAATAGGGAATTTCAACAGAGAGACAAATATGGTATCCTAGCAAAATATCAAATTAGGAGTATGAGAATAAAACGAAAAGCAATGAAATGATTTTTTATTTAGGCTTTTAAATTTAAAATGCCATTTTTGGTTTTACAGTGTAGCATTTTAACATTAGAGTTACATCTTTTAAGTAACTACTATAAATTATGATCAAAATTATCCAAATATTTTCTTAGTTTTACCTATTAAGCGAGTGAATTTATATTGTTTTGAAAATAAAATGTAGGGACAATTTATCATACTAAAGTATTTCGATAAAAATAATAATAATTGATTTCTATAATAAGAGAAGTATATTTTTAGAAACAATGTCTTTTTGCCCCTCTGAAGTAAGAAATGTTTTGACCTTAAAGCAGTGAGCATCAAATAAATACCAAGTCTGTAAAGCTTGAGCCAATTTATACGCCATTTCTTTTCTTTTAGTAAGAGTTTTCAAGTTATGTCACGTATATGAAAAATGAAGGAACTCATTGAAAAGAACATTTCTACAGCTTTCTAAGATACTTTAGTTCATATATAAAACTATTATTTTTGACACGTAATATTTTTTGTCTAGTTGAATTCTACAAGATAGACTTAAGTTTTACGAGTTATTGATTACTTTACTAGGATGTTACATTTATCTGTTTAAATATATGAAAAGTTCAAATATTAACTTATCATTTAAATTATTTTTTTTTCATCAGTAGATTTAAATTTAAAAAAAAAAGCTATTAAATTTTGCATACTTTAGTGCATTGTTAAAATTTTCATTCTAAAAATATAGTAAAATAATCGCCAGCCGTCTGTCCCACCAATTAAACGTAAAATTTACGGTAAGAAACAATTTTTTACCTTTTCGGTTTTGAAACGTTTAAAACTAATATGGTTAAAAAACCATGAATACAGCACTATTGATCTTTTAAAACATTTACAACTGGCATGGCTTCAAAACTGTAAAAAAGAAATTTAACTGAACATTGGAGCTAAGTTTTTCCTTGGGTAATGGACATTGGAATTAGGTTGTAATTGAGTTGTTGTTGAACCATGGAATGTGGTTTAATTAGTTTATCTGTTTGTTTCACCTAAAGTAAAAGATGGGAAATATACGACTTTTTTGTGTTAGGCAGCTTTACTGTGCTGCCATCTATGCGTGAATGAGTAATAATCATATTCTATTAGTCCTGGGTGACAAATTGGGGATTATAGAACACTGGAAACTCTTCCTGTGATGAAGGGAAGGTAGAAATCATTGCGGTGTCAACGCTGGGATTCGAACCCCCGTTCTATCGGTCATGAAATTGGCAGCATAGCCTTCTCGGCTATAATATGTACTGCGAGAAACTAAGTGACTTCATTAGGTGAGCCTAGTTGGTGCGTTAAACTTCTGATTGTTTAACCATATTAGTTGAAAGAAGTCCATAAACGGTTTTTCTCACAGTTAACAGTTCGAATAGCATTTTATTTACGGTTCTTTGACAGTTTTGTTTAAATATGGTAAAAGGACAATTAAATTAATCCTTATTTAACCATTTCTTCCGAGAAATTTCTAACAGTTTTCTAATATGAGACTATTTACTACATCTAAACATTTTAATTATATTTTTTATCAGCAGGTTTAAATAAAAAATCTCTTTATTTCTGCGTGCTTTGTTGTTCTCGTAATGCTAAATGTTACAAATTAAACATATATTTTTCAAACTGCTGATTACTTAACAAAAACGTTTTATTTATGTAGTAAAATACTAGAAGAATTTAAAATATTGCCTTTATCTGAGCATTTTATTTATCTTTTTTTATCAGAAGCTTTAAGTTAAAAGCTCTCATACCTTTGTATACTTTCATGTTCACGGGAAATTGAATGTTACAAATCCATCTTATATTTTTGTGTAACAAATTAAGTTACAAAATCTTTTTATTTATCTGGCAAAATATTAGAAATATTTAAGTTATTATCTTTATCACCCGAAAGTTTTAATTCATTTTAAATGGATTCTAAGTTAGATTGTTCTTTTAAAATTACACAAATGAGCATTAAAGTAATTTAAATATTAAAAGATGTATTGATCTTATTTTTTTAAAGTTTAAATTATTACATTCTAAATATATAGCAAAAAGAAGAAAATAGTTTCTGTAGTTTTTAACCAGTTCTTTTATTTAATGCTCATTTTTATTATTATTTTGATTAGTGTAAAAATTAGTTTTGTGAAGAATGAAGAAAATTTTTAATCGTAACAAATAAAATAGAAAAATATATTTTCAAGAATGAACCTTTAAAACAGAAATGAAAAACTACTATTGTAGAATAAAAAAGTTAGGAATTTAAAAAGACGTTAATTTTTCCGCAGTGCTGATAATCAATACATACTTCAAATGAAATTGATGAAAAAAATCAGTAAAAGGAAAAAAAAAACTGAAATAATTAACAAACAAAGGAAAAGCACAATATTGCACAATATACTGTTACACAATATTAAGAAAATTAAATAAAAACATTATGACGCAGAAGAATTATTTTATTACTGTATTAGGAATAAATTTAAACTGACATTCCGTGCATTTGCATATGTTTCGAACAAACAAAGGGGTGAGGAACTAAATTATGATAATTGTTATATTGATTTTGTAAAATAGATAAAAAATATCAATAAAAAGGAAAAAAAAGAAATGAATAGAGAAAGAGTAAAGCGCAAGAAAAAAGCGCAACTAATTACACAATGATTAGAAAAATAAATGAAAATGAATAAAAATCGAGAAGAAATTTTATTTTATACTAAACAAGTATTACGAACAGATATTAAATGAAAGTCGGTGTGCATATTTTTGTATGTGAATATGTGCATATTTATAATATATTTATTCTAGTCCATGAACTATCATTTTAAAATCCATTTCGTTCGGTCTCGAAAAGTAACGCGTGGAATTTATTCTCAGTTTTTATGATTTTATTTTCTGCTGCAAGTATAATACTAAAATTCTCTTTGTTACACTCTAAAGTGTTAGTTATTTCATAAAATGTTCTTTCGTGGGATAAAACATTTATTTTTTAGGAGTTTATGCTTCGAAAATATTATTTTATACCACAACATTATGCACTAGTTATCTTACCTTGTAATAAAAATCAAATTTTTCATTTTAAAATGGTACATTTTTATTTAATATAAAATGGTTTAATAATAGATTACTGAGATTTAATAATAGTCTATTGTTGATGATTACCTTTATTTAAATTGCCATTGCTCTGTTCAAATCTTTATTCTAAAATTACGGCACAATAACTGGAAACAGTCTGTCTATCCAATTAACCATAAAGTTTACAGTCAGAAACATTTTTTTATCTTTACGGTTTTGAAATCGTTTACAACTAGTATGGTTAAGAAACCGTGATTACAAAACTATATGGTTTCGTAATTATTTGCACATAGCATGACTTCGAAACCGTAAATTTAACTGGCTTTTAGAGTTAGGTTACGTCAGGCTTTTCGTGTTATATAATGGAAACCGAAGTTAGGTTGTGGTTGAGTTGTGTTTTGTTAAATTAACTGGAGAATTTGGTTTAAATGGTTTAACTGGCAGTTTCCATCTATATTGAGAGACATGGGAAATAATAGATTTTATGTGTTAAGCGGTTCTCCGGTGCTCCCATCTGTGCATGAATGAGTGTTTCGTATTCCAATATTTAAGATTATCAATTAAGTGTAGGTCATTAGAAAATATTCATGGGTAGAAGGAATTTAAGAAATGTGGTGGTGTAAACGCTGGGATTCAAACCCCCGTCCAACCAATCATGAAATTGACAGATTAGTTACAGTTCACTGCTTAAATACCTTCTTTTTTATAGCTATTTTACTAGTTTGGCTTATAATTGTTTGGTCTATACAATTATTTTTCCGAAATATTCTAACAGAGTGAGTTAATATTGATTTAAGAAATCACTGTCGATAAGTATCGATCGAAACAAAATCGATAAATATCGATTTTAATGATGGATACAGCTATATTTTTAGTACTGCGATAACTGCTAATTGAGTTGGTATAGGTTGCAAAATATTTTATATGATTATACAATATGACAACTAATTGCTTTCTTAGATACAAAATATAGACTTTAATTATCGAAACTACTACTGATACAAACTATTTATTATAATATACTCTTTGTCTCATAATTGCTGTCTGGTATGTTATCCTATCTTATCTAATAATAATTTTTTCATACCAATAATTCGCTAATAGCGTTAATACCGGAGCAATAATTGTGTAGCAGCGTTAATACAGGCAAAAAAAAAAAAAATAAAGATCAAGTTAGTAAGTATGAACTGTCCAGTTTTCATAGATGAGATATTTGAATTACGATATAGTCTGGAAATACACGTCAAAACTTTGGAGGTCTTTTTTTTTTGTATAAAAGTAAATCATTTTTACCAGTTAAAATGCAAATTTTAATTATTTTTGGATATTTTTAGCTAGTTTGAGTATTTTTAGAAAAGCATTATGCACGTTATAAACTTGGTGCTCAATTGAAATACTTCGCGCTTACTTGGTTAGTGGTAAGATTGCTTTTTGAGTGTGGTGACCTAGGTGATCACACAGGGTCATTACTATTTAGGACCACCGAAAAATCAGTCTAAATCATAACTTCAATGAAGTTTATAAAATTGTATAATTAAATTAATTAACAAAATAAATTTATTTATTTGTAATATCTTATTATTAACAGTTTTAGTTCCTAACCCAAGATTCATCTACCACTGAAAATATTTTACGTCACCACTGTGGTCGGTGTAAACTGAATGCAGAATTGGTATCGACCAGCCATCGCTGGGAGTCGAACCCGGTTCACCTCATTGAACGCTCTATCCCCTGAGCTATCACGGCTCATATAAACTCTTTCGATTCATTCATTTCCATTACTTCATTATTTTATTACCGCTATTTGGCACTATTTATGAATAAAAGATGAGCCTACAAAACAACTCCAAAATCGCATATTCAATGACAAAACTATCAATGTTTATCAGTATTTTTTATTATTCAGAATTATAATTTTGCAGAATGAAGAGCTATTACTTTTCTCCGTATCGTCGTTGAAAATATTATCGAAAATAATACATTATTAAACAAAATTAACATTAAAAAAAATCATACCTGAGGCATATAGTTGCTGGAATCCACCCTTGTACCTTTAGGATATATCCGACTCAGCTGCCTTTTGTTATAACTATACGAGAGTTAACGAAGTTAAGTAAGGCATAGACTAAGAAGAAAGAAAATTAATGCATTTGAATATGTCGAGTTTAATTTGAGATAATTAAATCTTATTTGCAGACAATAGGATATGTAGCAAAAAAAATATTACTTAATAATATATATTTTCTAGAACTAAAATAATCATTTTAAGAGATGCAATACATCTAATTTCAAGATTAAATTAAGTTAGCTCAATCTTCTTTTTATTTTACATAATAGGAATAGTTATGCAAAATTTGTAAAAAAAAAAAAATATTTTTAAACTCTTTTTGATAATAATAATTTATTATAATTTTTATTTTGAGCTACTGCACTGCAACATTTACTGTGAGAGAAAAAGTATGGTAAAAACCACCCGAATATGGTAAAATTTACCACCGTGTTTCTGGCTCTAGGAGAACACTATAAAGCTCGGTAACCAAATTATAAATTTGGTCATTCATAAATTAAAACAATTCATAAATTAAAATCATAAATCATAAAAAATCAACTTTTACCAAAGATCTTTGGTAATGATTTTTCTAAAAATGACAGTAAAATATGGTTTTTATAATATGCTTTTAAATTTGGTAAATGTGGTAAAATTAGGTAATTTTTTTCATGTCCAGTTAAATTTACTTTTCAGTATTTTTATATTATAAATGTGTAGTAATAAAGACCATAATTTTGAAAACTAGAATTACCAATAGACCGTTACCATATAAATGAAAAATTACCAAATGAATGGTTTAAATACCGTTTTATATCCCGGGATGTCTTTATGAGAAACGTCATTACCATACGGTAGGGTAATTTTATAAGAATTATTTTATCCATGCAAACAGTAGTTCTATAATTTAGTATTCTAAATGCTTATTGTTTGATCGATTATTGGAATTATTAGTTGATTTAAGAACATAAGCTAATATTTAAATGCATTTTTCACGATAATTTAATTTCGGAACTAAGTAACTTTCATGCAAACAAACAATAAAATGTTGCAATATATTAGCAAATAGCTTGGAAAAAAGTCAAAAGTGTTTCTTTTTGAATTTTGGTATACTATACAAGTTTGATTGTTAAGTTTGATAGCTATATTAGTCTACTTTAGAAAATACCATCTTGTTTGTTGTATCAAAATTTTGAAACAAAAATGTAAAATTGATTCGTGGAACTTATTTAAAGACGTTTTTGCGTTTTTTTAGAAGTTAAAGTATTGATAATGCAAAAGTTACCATCAAAAATTCAATTCAAAATATAAATCTGTGTTTTCCTTCCGTATATATATTTTTTAATGAACTTTGGTGTGAAGTAGTGGCAACTTACATTTGCAGTCACTACAGAAGAATAAGTTCCATAAAAGCTCATATTTATGAGCTCCTAGAGAAATTCAATGAGTTAACTTACAATAACCCTATCTATCTTATCATCTTTACTCAGCAGCATTAACTAAGAATCACTTTATCTATCTTATCACCCTAATTTAGCGTCAACTTATTATCACCCTATCTATCTTATCGTCCTAACTTAGCAGCATCAACTTAGAATCTTATCACCCTAGCTTAGTGGCATTAGCTTATGACCACCCTATCTATATGCGATATCTATCCTATTGCGCATAATAAAAAATATGGGATACCTTCATAACTTTTAATCCTTTGATCAAATGCATACTAAAATGTAACTTAGTCTGACCATAAATATTTTGAATATTTGTATCTTGGTGAGGTCGCTGCTCTGGGCGAGCGGCCCCCAATCTACATCACATCAACCAGGGTTTTCCCTGGAGTTACTTCTGCCACCCTTGCCCATTTTTCCGACGTGTTGCCATGGATCGCCACCAAGCCTACCTTTTTGAATCCTCTCTTTCTTTTGCTGAGAGGTCACGTGCGCGCACTTAGAGTCGACAGTATTCTCCAGATGACCCCTGACCGGGGCGGGACGGGGTTAAGCTTTGATGATTTTGAATATTTGAAAAGACTATATTTTGAGTCAAACTTATGCATTACTTTCGAATCATTAAAATCTCGTTTAAATATGTGAAAATCCGATCACTAGCCCAAAGGGTAGTAAGGTGTTCTGCTCTTTATTTCGATCCTAGTACACACTATGAAGTAACCATTATATTTTTTAAGTCCATTAATTTTTTTTGAAATAAATTCAAATAAATAAATAAATATATGAGTTTCACATCAATAATCTTTTCATGAAATTATATTTTGAGTTTACATCTGTAAAAGGAAGACAAAAAAACAAAAAAAAACAACAACATTAGAAACGAGTTAGAATGAATCTAGCTACTAGAGATTTTTCATTTTAGAATATGACAATTCAACATAAAATCTAAATATGAAAGGATACTTGACGAATTCTACTGGATGTTCTTTGAGCAAATTAGTTGCATGGGTTTCAACAAATGATGATACTTCATAACTCCTGTTCCGCCCTATAATAACATTTCAATTATTGAAATATAAGCTTTGAACTGTTCATTATGATTTATGTTTTTCTAACAGGTTGAGGAAGAATCCTATTTTAAGCATTTTTTTCTTTTGAATTAATCTTAAATCTACCTATTTCTTTTTTAAAGTGTTAAATCATGCATTTTTTTATACACTAAAAAGTACTGCATTCTTGGTTTTATTGTTGTTCCATTTTACTTAAAAAATGCATTTTCAGTTTTTAATATTATTATTATTTTACTAAAATTTTGAAATGGCATTCAGGTATAAACATAGAATTGAAAAGCGATTTCGGAGTTACAAGGTAGATTAAGTTCCTTTAATTTAGAGTTTTATTAAACCAAAGAAGCTTTCTTTGAAACACAAATTTCAAGAGCTGAAGATTAAAATAAACTACATGCTCTATAACTTGCTGTTTTAAGTAAAAAGTATATTAAAAAGTTAGATTCTGATATATCATCAAATTATGTATATTTTGAAAAAGAGAAGATAAGCTAATGAGATTAAAAACAAAATTATTTAATAATCATTATTTTTATTTTTCTTAAATTTTCCTTTTTAACATTAAGAATTATGAATCAAAGTCAATTAGGAATTCTTAAATAATGACAATAGAAAGATAAAACAAAGTTTAAATATACTAGGCACTTTTACTCTAAACATTCAAATGACCTTTTGTCCTAAAGAAAGTTTTCAATTTAACGATGTTTAGAAAGTTGGTAATTGTTTTCCTGTATTTATAGTCAAAGTAAAAATTTAAATTTTACAAACTGCTTTTTAAATATTTCTATTTGTATATGGAATGGAAAAAGGAGTTAAAAATGTGCTTTATTTCTTTAAAATGCCTTCATTTCCGCCATTAAATATCAAAAACTGGTATTTATCAAATAATTTATATGCCAATTTTCATCTATGTTTTTTAGTGAAATCTTGACTCAAAAAACAAGCTCCGTAATTTATCTATGAAAATTAAACACCTATTCATAGAAGAATTTTCTTCACGGGGAAAAACTTACTTTCGGCATACTCAAAAGAATGAAATCTAACAGGCTGTACATAGTTAACTAGAGCTGACATTTCTGCCCCAGCCTCAGACTCTCGAGCTCTATCCTAGGAAAACAAAAAACAAAAAATTAAAATGAAAAACTCTTAGTTTTCATACTTGGTTTAGATAATTAATGTCAATAATTTCTACTATGCTTTAACTTATAAATAAGATTAGCAAATATAATTTACTATGATTTCATATTTTCTGTGTTTAACTATATACTGCCAAGTTCAATTATCAATCCTTAATATATAGTATTAAAGTTAAAAAGAAAATGGTCAGGTGATGGAAACATATTTTCCAAAAATATGGTAGAAAATATTTTATGGGCGTAATTAAATTTGATATTTTATTGTTTTACTAAAGTTGAAAATATTTTATTTTGCGCGTAAAACACGATTAAAAAAATATTAGAAGTATGGAATATACAGTCTTTATTCTATTTGCAAATAAGTTTTAATTTTCTTTTTACTTAATATTTTAATTTATTTGTCAAATTTTTATTTTATATTTCCTTTAGGAAATTCCTATTTGCTAACAAATTTAAATTCTCTGAGTACAGTCTTTCCTACGCTGTAAGAATTCCTAGATAAAATTTTTTAATCGGAAACACGAGCACTCAAGGTCTGGGTACTTTTTACAGTAAAATTCATTTTTAGAGGAAAATATAAAAGAACAAAAAATCTTCTATACAGTAATTTTTACAGTGGCAATTGCCTTAAAATCACTTTACTAAATAAATATTAGCGCAAAATTGTGCTATCTGTAAAAAATTCCAGTAAGAAATACCGCACTCTGGGTACCAGTACTTTTTACAGTAAATTCATTTTTAGCGGAACATGTTAGAGAAAAAAACATCCTATGTATAGTGAATTTTATACTAATAATTACCAAAAAATCACTAAATCAATTTAATTAAATAAATATTACTGTAAAAATTGTGATAGAGTAATTTTGGGTGCATCATCTGTAAAATCCATTTTTTTACAGATGCTGCACCCTAAGTGCCGGTATCTTATACCATAATTTGATCCGCAATTTCTTACAGTGTATTTTTACCGAAATTTACAGGAAAGGGAAAAATTTGCTCGTGAAATCCGTTCCTTGAATCTATTGACTACGACAATGGCGAGTCAAATTTCTGCAAATTTTACTACATCAGCAGAAATAGTGAGTAATAGTACAGTAATTTTGGGTGCATCATCTGTAAAATCCATTTTGTTACAGATGCTGCACCCAAAGTGCCGGTACCATAATTTGACTACGACAATGGCGAGTCAAATTTCTGCAAATTTTACTGCATCAGCAGAAATAGTGAGTAATAGTACAGTAATTTTGGGTGCATCATCTGTAAAATCCATTTTTTTACAGATGCTGTACCCAAAGTGCCGGTATCTTGTACCATAATTTGATCCGCAATTTCTTACAGTGTATTTTTACCGAAATACCCAGGAAAGGGAAAAATTTGCTCGTGAAATCCATTCCTTGAATCTATTGACTTCGACAATGGTGAGTCAAATTTCTGCAAATTTTACTACATCAGCAGAAATAGTGAAAATATAAATCTCATCCGATCAACTGAACTGCTGAGTCATCCAACTTACCTCTTCAGCTCCTTCAATGACTTCCGGCTCTTCTTCGTCGGATCCTATATCTGTATCAGATTCTTCGGCTCCATCTATCTTATCCTCTGTTCCACCTCCAGGATCATTCTCATCTCCTGATATAGGACTACTAACAGAAGAGCTTTTTACGCGTTCTGGTGTAAGTGGTTGATCGTCTCTACCCACGGAAGATTTGGGTGTTCGGTCTGGTGCTGCAAAGTGAATAGAACGTATAAGTATACAATATATCATCTGCGCATTAAAAAGAGTAAATGAAATAAAATGTATGGGCTTGCAAAATATCTTATGAGCTAGAAATAAAAGTAATGGCAGTGAAACTTATGCATAAAAGAATGATGATACCCATCCCTCTGATCTGAATCAGATGAGATCAATGAGCTCGTTCACTTTAAATACCTCCAAAACATGACAGTTCTTTCAGGAGGTACTAAGATAACGCAGTTAATCAGATTATTCAAAATAGCTTCTGCTTTACTATACCCAGTGCAAATCTGAAGTGTCTTAGTATCATGGGAAAATTTGAGGGTTTAGACAGTCGAGTTAAAAAAAAAACTTATGGGATAAAGAAATGTATTATACGAGCTAGAAAATTAAAGAAAGGATGACGGAAAAGATACAAAATCACAAAAAGAAAAAAAAAATTCGTTACTTCTTATTATTACGCCTGGCGAGTCTTGAAATTGGGTACCTATGTTTGAACACCTCAAACATGTGCACTGTAATTTTCCATTTATGTGCACTGTGCACATGTGCACTGTAATTTTCAATTTTCAAAAAAAAAATTTTTTTTTGATATTTAAGAAACCTAGAATATCGTTTACACTTCTTGGTGTAATGTAGCCACCACCTGGTTTGTTACACAGCAAGACAAAAAGTAAGACACAGTAAGACAATTATAGTAAGATATGATGCACATAAGAATCAGTAAAGTTACTTTTACGATGCACATAAGAATCAGTAAAGTTACTTTTACGATGCAATATAAAGCAAGTATCTTAAATTTAAGATACGTATATAGAATATTTCTTAAACAAAATGAGTTTGTTAATAAAATATAGATACAGCACAGACAGAATATTGACATGGATTTGAACTAAGCCTAACAAAGCAGAAGCAGATATAAATTAAATATTATAGGATTATTTTAAATAGCTCACAGGTATTTAAAAATTAACACTTAATTATCCGTTATTACTCACCTAAAAACTCCCATACATATTTCAATGGCAAACCTTTGATGCAAAAGATACAAATTACATTAAAAAAAACTCGGGCTAATTTCATGGTTAATAATTAGAACAGAAGTTAACTAATTTCCTTTCAATTTGTAGCTTTTTGTCTACTATTTTAATTATATCTCTTAGTTTACGTATTGTATTGTGGCATTTTTTACAATGTAAAGCAAAGATTTGCTATTTTAGAATTATTTAAGCGAGGGTATAACGACAGAGGGGAATTTTTTGTTCGCGCAAAAGAAAAAAAAACAGACTACGCTGAATAACTTTTCATCTAATGATCGGATCTGTACGTTCTAGGACTCAATTTTAACGACTGGAGAGGGTGACTTCAAATATGCTAACTAACCTCAAATATGCTAATAAACAAACTAATGTGCAGATGATATTTAAAGTTGAGAAATCTGACACAAAAACGTACTTTCTCTTAATAAACATAACTTTTTTTTCCAACGGATTTGGATTTCTGACCCCCAAAATTTAGGGGTAGCCGCAATCTGGGAAATATGGTCCAGATAGTTATGTCTGGAGGGTACTCCAAAGCTTGGATCCTTTAATGTTAATTTTACTTTTTGCCAATTTCGCCGTATCTCGAGAACTTTATAAGCGAATTAAAAAAAAAAATTGCAGATAATTATAAAATTTGTTTATCAAAAGATAAGTCGATGTAAAAATAACTTTTAGTAAATGTTTATTATTATTTTATTTAAGAACGGTCGAAAAATTTTTGCATAATTTTAAATAATTTTAGTTTTTGCATCATTTTGAAGAACTTAATTTAACATGACGAAATCCAAAATTTGAGAAAAATCGGTTGAATAGTTCATGAGAAATTGAATTTCAAAAAGTCACATATTTAAAATTCGATTCAACAGGAACTATTCAACTCAAAATCTGCATTGTGCCATGAGAAATTTATATTCTTTAAAATGATGTAAAAAATTTTATACCATAGAATTCAAAAATTTTCAGACCATTATTAAAGACTCATTCTTTATGTGAATTTATTTATAAGTTAAAGTCTAGTAATATTATTTGTTGTACTTTGTTAATTTATTCATTTTTAATAAAGTTACAATAAATACTGTCCGTCTGTTTCTTTTTTTTGCCGCACTCTGTATTTTATAGCAGCTTTGAAGAAAACAACAAACTCATGACAACACTTACTTGGTAAAGACAAACAAAATGTTCCAACATTGGTTCAAAATGTGCCAACATTGGTGCTTTCGGAAGTGAAAATAATTTAATGCGTATTTAATTGCAAACGTATCGAAAATAAAATATATAAAAAAAACTAGTAATCCTACTTAATTGAACCGCTATGGCTCAGGGGATCGAGAGTTCGCCTTTCAACTAGGTGAACTGGGTTCAAATCCCAGTCGATACGAACTCCGCATCCGGCTTGCACCGATCACAGTGCTGACATGAAATATCCTCAGTGGTAGACGGGTCATGGGTTAGAGTCCCCTTACTGTCAGGCTAACTGTGGGAGGTTCTCATGGTCTTCCTCTCCATGTAACGCAAATGCGGGTTAGTTCCATCAAAAAGTCCTTCACGAAGGCAAATATCCCCCAATACTTGATTCAGGAGTTCCTTTGTCTTCTGGATTGGGTTCAAAGTCACAAGGCTACGTAGTTGAACATTAGCAGTCGTAAACCCGAAAATTGGGTCGGCTGTTCAACGACGGTTATAAAATTATAAAAAAATAAACCTACTTAACGAATTTATGAAATATCATTCAGAACTTATATGAAAATAAGTGTAATTGTCATTATTGATTATTTGGGACCTTAAATCCTATCAACTTTTATTTATTTGCACTTGGAATGAAATGGAATTTTTATATGAATATTAAAAAAATTTTCTATTTTTATTTAAGGATTTTAAAATGCTTATTAATTGTAAGTCGCATTTTTTATATGTATTTTTTATTTAATCATTATTCGTTTAAGTTCTTTTTATTATTTTTTTTCAAACACTTAACTTGGAATCTCTTCAGAACTACTTTTCTAAACTTGGTGTCAAAATGAAATTTCGGAAAAAAAGTTTATTGGATTTCCGTATTTTTTCCGCAGCCGAGAGCGGTCGATTTTTATTCGATTTCGTTCGCCATTCCACTGAAATGTACTTTCGAAGTCTGGAATTCGAATTTCGATACAATAATGCTTTCAAATCAGAACTCTGTTAGTGAGGTGATATTTATTATCATAATGTAAAAAACGATTTTCTCCCACTTTCGCCCCGAATTCAGACCAAATAATCAATACTTAAAAATAAATATTTTTTCTGTGTCAAACACTCTGAATTTTAACGATTAAATGATAAAATATTCGATCATTCTATTCTCAATAGTATTTTTTTTAAAAAGAAACAAAACTTTATTGAAAACTTTGTGTTTAACTATTACAATAGTATATAAAGTCTTTCCACATTTAAAAGTTCTCCAAAAATGTTTAAACTATAATCATTCTACTAGTAAGATTTTTATGCGATATATTATTTACTATAATTTCATGATGTTTATAATTTTTGAAATTAGAATATCAAAATAAATAAATTAATAAATTTTATTTTATTTCCTTTTTGCTTCTTTTCACTTATTAAAAATAAAAACAAATGAAGTATACGCATTGAGGGTCGTTAATTAATATTTAAATGAGTTATAAACAAAAATGCTTTCTAAATCTAAGAAAACACTGTTCAGGAAAAAGAAAACAATAAATTGTTTGCTGAAGAAAACAGAGATATGAGTTAACACCTTAACGATCGGTTAATTTTCAAGAAAACGGTCATAAAAGTGCCTATTTTCTTGGCTTTTGTACTTGTATTACGTATTTGATTAGTACTGACATCTAGTTCAAAATAAACTAACTATCTACAATTGCCTTAAAAATATCCAGGTACTGCCATCTGGTGTGTAAAATGAGAAATAAAATGTTTTCTGGGCAAAAGAAATAAACTAGTTTTATTGTTATTGCCGAGTTACAGCTGAACACTCCAGCCCGTCAATATCACGGGAACGAGAAATAGAGGGCAAAACCTCACCCCGTCAGTTTCACGGGAGTGAGAAGGACAATTTATTAAAAGACAATTATTAAAATTTCCTTCAATTTTCACCCATGAATTAAACTAGTTTTGATGCTTATTACATTCACTTACCCAGCTGAGATTTATCAGATTTCGTTAGCATTTTAGTATTTTCCTCGCTTAATGTAATAGTTTACGTAAACCTTTCGTTTTTCTTTTTGATGAGGATTCTAAAAAAGCACATTAAGGTGGTCTTAACAGAATACTTGTATATAATTTATAAGTTGCAGTTAAAAATTCGTCAGTGGAATAAGTACTCTAAGGCGTATCACTAAACTTTTTAAAAAATAAAACTTAAGGTTCATTAAAGTTTAAATCTTCAACTTTTTCGTTGGTTAAACTAAAGTAAAATAAAGAATTGCATAAATATTGAAGATCATGAGTGTGAATTAACTAGGTAACAAAGAATTACTTCTGAGTAACTAATGCTAATTATTACTAAGTTCTAGTAGCATTCCGTTTTTCATATTTTAAGATTCAACAAGTACAAGCATAAATCGGTATTATGAGGTCGAAAATCTGATAGAATGAATTATTGTATCAATTTTTGTAAGCTGTTTTACCGAAATTTTAATTTTTTTCTCTATTATTAATACCACTGTTAGTTATATAGTTTCATATATTAAATATTTTGTATGTAGCGATTTTATTTAGACAACTTTAATGATTCAAATAATTTACTGTAAGTTTGTTTTCACTTTTTTTACAAAATTCAGATGTTTTCTTAGATATTGATATCAAAAGTTAAATAACCTCCAACCGATATCAAACAATAACATCTATCAACTTCTTTGAGTGATATGATATCCTTATAAATTAAATACTAACAAACACAACCAAACATTAAATAAAATATTGTTAAACTAATTAAATATTGGTAAACTTGTATTTGTTTTATTGAAAATTCATTCAACCATATGAGCAATTAGAACAAGCTATAATCAAGCTCGCTTTAATATCAAGTTAATTCCTTATGGATGAATATTACTCCATAACTTCTTCAAGTGAGAAAAACGTACGGAATAAGGGTTTGTAGCAAGTAGAATTTTTTGATTTCAGGTTTTGGAAATCGAAAATAATGCATTCATAATTATTTCAGTTTTTACGGTTGGTCGATTTCTGTAATGTTTTTATTTTATATTATTACATTCATTATTTTTTTTTAATAGTTAGAGGAGATATTTTTTCCCTCAACAATTCCAGTTTATCTTGTTATTGGCAATAATAAACAGTGATTATTGATTATAATCACACATTTTGATGAATGTGGCAAAAATGCACATTAATCTCATTGCCCGGTATTCCTTACGCTAGGGATTTTCACGGGTAAGGGCTATTTCCCGGAATTATCTACAAACATTTTCGTAATCTAGCCTAAATCTAAAATTCGTTGCTATTTTCAAGCAAAACAAAAAATATTCCGACTATTTAAAAAATTTTAAAAGATAAATAGAAATTAATTAAAAAATCTCTATTCCATGGTTAGAAATGCTGTCGAATGCTCTATTATTCTTGTTTTTAGAAATGAAATGTTTTATTTTGAATTTCAAAATTCTTAGAAAGAAAAATACAGGTATGTTTCCAAAATAAATGGTATAATTCACTACTAATAAAAGCTCATGGAGCTAATAAATAGAGCTTGGAATTAAAACTTATGCTACTCGATTTCGTTGCTCGTAAAAGCATATCTATAATGCAATAAAAACTTTAAAAAAATAGTTACATGAAAAATATTGAAATTACAAAACGTTACCTCTAGGAAAATGCTTCTTTTTATTTTTAATAATAATTTTCCGTACCAATTGATGAGGAGATGGCAGCAGCTGTCCAGGATTCAACTGAAAAATAAGTACATAGATTAGAATTGGCATTCAATGTGATGCGAAAATTTAATGAATCTAGTAATTAGTTTTCCAGGAAATTGCTCTTACAAACTTAGATTCCCCGAAGAAGATCAAAGTTACTAATTTGGAGTTTTGGAGTTACAATCTTCATGATTACATAAACCAATAATTTGTTTTCTTTTAGAGTCATTTTAAGTTGGTATTAGAACTGTAATACATAAAAATAATGATTCCGTTTTAAAATTGAAGTGAAGTTTCGAGAATTTTCAGTTCTTATAATTATATCCATGGTCATTAAAGTGGATTTAGAACTTATACTTTCTTGGAACTATTTTAAAGAAAGTTTTGTATTGAGATAATAAGGATTAGATTTTTATTTTCTAAAATTTCGCTCCCTATATAAATTAAATAGAAAAATATATATCAGGATATTTTAATGCATTGACATTATGTTGAGTTTACTATAGATGTATAGATGTTCTAACTCTTTTGAAATTCAACTTCTCAGGAACTGATTTCGCTCAAATTCTTTATTTTGAAACTTTTTTTGCTGGAATTCATTTATCCAAAAATAATTCCATACAAAAAATAACTTTTATGAAATATTTAATATTTTTTTATCATTTTATTTAATAATAGTCTCACAACGTTTGAATTATAAAGTGCACAATTTTTTTACATCATTTAAAATGTAGTTTTTCATGGAAAATACAGAAATTTGAGCGAAATCAGTCGAATTATTCCTTAGAAATCAAATTTTAGGAATACAACTTTGCACTACTTGATTTTGTGTGCAGAAATTTTCCAATTCGGTGAAAAAATTCCAGAAATATAGCCAAATACGCGAAACGAAAAATTAACATCAAGAGGTTCAAATTTTGGACCGCTCTTTTGATCAAACTATCAGGACCATATTAACCTGAAGTAGTTTGTTTGCATTTTCATGTTTTGAAAACATTTTTTTAGTATTTGAGACTTAATGGTTTATTCTAGGTTTACCTGAACTCAATTTTTCCTTAAAGAAAGGTTTAAAATACTAATGGAGGTGAAACAGAAATTGTCAGGAAAAGTTTCTCCCATGGTGTAGCGTCCTCTTAAGTGTCCTTCGATAAACTAGTCGAGCATCTTTGAAGAAAGTATTATTTAACTTAGTAATTCTGATGATATTATTAATATACAACTTTTGTCAAATTAATTTATCTTTTCTAGATTAAAGTTATTAAAAAAAGAAGGTGTTTTGATGTTTTTTCTTCGTCTGCACTTTCCGTTAGTTTACATGGAATAATAATACCACTCCCTTGAGCCATGATATTGAATACAATTGCAGACTTTCAAGAAAAATGACAAATTGCACTATGTTTACATTCATGTTAATCAATAAAATAGCGCAATAAAGTAACAGATGGTATAATTTGTACAATACTATGGGGAAATTTAGTACCGAATTAAGGTTATATGAAATCTTCTGGTGTTTTGGTACAACTTCTTCCAAAACTTCAAATATTGTATACTTTCATTTTATTTATAGGGATGGCACAAGAGCCAAAAAGGACTACACTGCATTAAATGCGAATTAAAACAAGTAAGAAATTAAAACTAAAATCTAAACTCACGAAAAGCAGCTGTTTTCCCCTCTGTTGTGAATAAAGTGTCGTTTGTATTAAATCATAATATCTTTTTAAAAACAAATAGATATCACTGTCAACATAAAAACAAGCTTTGAATAAGATAAATAAAAAGAAATTTAAAAAATTGCAAAAAGTTTCGTTTCATGGAAAATTTCTATTAAATGACAATTTAAATTTAATTACTTATATTTAAGATTATTCATAATTAAAACTAACAATTTAAATTTCGTGTAACGTTACTTCATTCGAAGCAAATAATAAGTGTTACTTTAATAAAACTAACATTAATTTTGCAACCCATTTCATTTTATCGAATTACAGTCGCATCAAATTGAAAGTTAAATGAAATGGGATTAAGAAGTGGCTAAACTGCTCTAAGCACAAATTAAAAAAGAAAGAAATCTGATAAAAAAATTTCCTAAATTTAGAATAGAGCAAGAGTATATATGTATATTTTTTTTTTATATGAAAAACTGATTTGTGCAATATGCAATATTCAACAAAGTAGTTTTTCATAATAAAATTAAAAAGTAATGTTTCAAAACTGTTTTTCTTTCTTTCTTTTTTTTCTTATTTTTATGAAAATTTTTTTCAAAGTAAAAAAAAATAACGAAATCATAAATTTTTTACAGCACAAAAAATAAGGATTTCAGTTTTAATCAAACTTATATTTGTGTTCATCCCATTTAGAATTTCAAAAATTCCTAAACGACTTTGATTAATGAATATTAGTAGAACATCTGCCGTTTTCTGGATCGATGCAAATGTAATTAGGATGTTCAGAACTTTTTTTTATCCCCCAGATGAGGTATGCCAACCATAATCACAGATGTCATACTTTGGGTTGAATTTAATGTAAATTAGAAATGAGATGAGAAAGAGTTTTTTTTTTGTTTTTGTTTGTCAACACATTTTTAAAGGATATTTTTCATAAAAGTTATGTCATATAAATTCTCTCTTTTATTACTTGGCATCAATTGCTTCAGGGATAAACTTTGAGTTGTAAGATGACGCTAAAGTTAATTAAACGGAGCAAGAAAAAAAATAAGTTGTGCTAAAATGGAACTCTTGAATAATTTTATTATAGGCGTATTTTAGAAATTGTGTTACGGTTAAAGAAATGCGAATTTGACCTTTTTCTTTATTAATAGTATGGTATTTTAATTATAAATTTCAATCATTCACTTCTGATATAAATAGTAATGATTAATTAAAATCACTAAATTTAATCATTTTACCGTAAAATCGAAAAGATTGATTTCTCGGGAGAAATTATGTTTTAGCATACATTACATTATCTACATGTTAATGTAAAAAACATAAATTAGATAAACATTATTTAGATTTTAGTGCATAGTGTGCAAAATAAAAAACGAACCACCACGAATGACTTTTCATCTAATGATCGGATCTTCGCTTTCTAGGATTCATTCTTCAAGGTTCGAAGGGGTGACCTCAAATATGCTACTTAATTAGTGCAGACAATATTTTAAGTTACGTAATGAGACAAAAACGCAATTTACGTACGTAACGTAAAAAACGTAAACGTAATTACGTAATGAGACAAAAGCGTAATTAACATAACTCTTGTCTTCCGAGGGATTTGCATTTCTGACCCCCAAAATTAAAGGGGTAGCCACAATCTAGGAAATATGGTCCATATAGTTAGGTCAGGAAGGTGCTCCTAATGTTAATTTTAATTTTTGCCTATTTCACTGTATCTCGAGAACTTTGTAATCGAATTGAAAAGTTTTTGCACACAATTATAAAATTCGTTTATCCAAATATAATTCCAGGCAAAAATAACTTTTAGTAATTATTTTTATTGTTTATTATTTTATTTAATAATGATCGAAAATGTTTAGCATGCTAAAACATTAAGATAGGTTAATGATAAAAAAATTATTAATATTTTTTTTAAGTAAATGTTCTGTTTATCATTAAACAAAATATTCAAACTGATGAAAAATTCTGATAAAATATTTAAAATTTTTTTTATTTTCGTCGTTTTAAAATGTGGATGTAGATTAACTGTGCCCCGTTTGACAGATATATAACAATTTTTAAAATAATTAAGGTCCTATCAGTGTCACTTAGCCTGTCACTAAATAAAATGATGAAGAACTTTAACATTTTTACCCTCAAGCACCATACTTAGACCAACAGATAAAAAGCAATCTTCTTGCTATATGCAACAGATTATATAACTCCACGATAATTGAAAAATATTAAAATTATGATTATTCCTTAGATCATTCCAAGACACCTCTACAAAAAGGTTGTCATTCTCTCTGACTCCAAAGCTTCCACACAGGCCATTGCATCATAGGAAATGCCCATATCAAAGAATATACAAGATTGTCTGGCCCTCTTGGAGAAACTGAAGATCGATGGTCGCCAAGTTACTCTACATGGATCCCAGGACATTGAGATATCTACAGCAATGAACAAGCTTATATGTTGGCAAAAAAAGACACAAAAATAAACCAACAACCAAATTCCAATAGATCCTTACATTCCACAAAACTCTACATCAAAAATTTATTATGGAAAAATTGGAAAGTGTCCCTTTCTTCCCGTATATCCCTGAAAAGTAGGAGGAACATTTTAGACCGAGGCATTTCAGACATACCCCGTGAAAAGGTTGTGGCAGAATTTAGACTTGGTGTGGGTCATGACTGTCTTGTGCACCACCTCCACAGCATTTGTATTTTTACGAGTCCGAATTGCCGACTCTAGAGGAAATTCGAAGTAATGAATAGGAAGCACTTGATGGGATGTTCGGCTGCACACGGAGACTCTGAAGTAGAAAGATATTAGAGTGCTAGGCATCTGCTAATAAGTCATTGACTTTTTTCTCTTATCTATTTCATTTGCATATTTTTTCTTGTTAAGAGTTTGTCAATTTCTGCCATTGGAATTAAAAAAAAGGAATATTCTTTATGATGAGGTTTCCTTCCATGCATAGCAAATTTTTAAGCTTCTTCCAAATCGTGTCAGAAATTGAAGGTGATGTTCATAATGCATAGAATTTTCAGAAAATGCTGTAAAAAATCAATTTATTGAATGATATAGGCTTTAATAAATGCTAGCTCATTTCAAAATGCTAGATGTAGACTAGCTTTGCCTCGTTTAACAGCCGCATACCAAATTTTAAAATATTTTAATTAAGATCCTATTATTTTCTTTTGACCTGCCACTAATTAAAATGATAAAGAACTTTTTCGTTTTCAACTTAACTGTACTTTATTTAGACTTGCAGCAAACAGCAGTCTTCTTGCTTTATACAACTGGTAAGAAATCTGTGGTAATTTAAAAATATTGAAAATGTGATTATAATTGATGATGAGGTTTCTATCTATGCGATGTAAATTTGTAAGTTTTTTCCAAATCGTATGAAAAATTAAAGGCAATGCTCCTAGCATTTTCAGAAAATGCCATAAAAATCAATTTATGGAATGATATAGGCCCTCATAAATGCTAGCTTGTTTCAAAATACTAGATGTAGACTAACTGTGACTCATTTGATAGTTGTGTACTAATTTCAAAATAATTATAATTAAGGTCCTATCAGTTTCTTTTGACCTGCTACTAAATAAAATGATAAAGAACTTTTCCACTTTTACCTAAACCCCACTATACTTAGATCAGCAGCAAACAGCAGTCTTCTTGCTTTATGCAACTGGTAAGAAATCTATGGTAATTTAAAAATATTGAAAATATGATTATAATTGATGATGAGGTTTCTATCTATGCGACGTAAATTTTTAAGTTTCTTCCAAATCGTATCAAAAATTAAAGGCAATGCTCCTAGCATTTTCAGAAGATGCTGTAAAAAAATCAATTTATCGAAAGATGTGGACCCTTATAATCCCTTCATTGAATCTCTGGTTTCTATGTGGATATGGAGGAGGAGAGATTTATACAAAGGGAAAAAATGAAACGTAAGAACAAACTAAAATCAATAATAAGGCCTGCGTCATCTTTTTTTCAATGTGTTCCATCTATTAGCAAAGTAATAACAGGAGTAAGAGTAATATTTTACCTGATGAGTACCAAAGGGCTCTGTAATGATCATATCTCCAAATATCTTTCTGCAATACATCGCCATTTTTGCTTGTTGTTTAGTTCTGAAAAGAAAAATGATACGAATCTGATAAGCCTGATATGGGGGAAAACTAGCAAAATTCTGAATGAATGTGAAAATAATCTTTCCTTTCATCATCTTTATGGTTGCGTCAAAACGGGAAAAATATTCGAAATGGAAACAAAATGTAATACATATATCATATGGCTCATTTTTATTTCTGGAGACGTATTTGAATGTACCGGAAAAGTTCCATTTTGTAACGACATTTTTGAATTCAATTTTTAAACTTGATCGATACTGTTAAAAGCTGTTTTGATCGGATTCAAATTTTTTTTCTTTTCTGTTCGATTTTACTTTTAAGTTACTTATTATTACAAGCTTTAATTTTGCGTAATGACAGTCACAAGCATAAACTATTTTCTAATACTACTATGTTGATTGAAGAGTTCGTGTCACCCTGAACAACTTTTGCTCTAATGATCCGATCTTCATGTTCTAGGACACAATCTTAATGACTTGAGGAGGTAACCTCGAATATGCTAATTAAAAAGTTCAGACGATATTTCTAGTCATGAAATCAGACACAAAGGCGTACTTCCGCTGAATAAATTTACCTTTTTTTGATGTATTCGGATTTTTGACTCCCAAAGTACAGGGGATAGTCAAAATCTGGGAAATATGGTCTCAAAAGTTTGATCAGAAGAGTGCCCTACTGTTTGAACCCATTAATGTTAATTTTACTTTTTGAGTTTTTTGGCATAACTCGAAAATTTTTTAAGTTAATTGAAAGTTTTTTATCGATATTATATAATTCGATTATTCAATCATGCAAAAATAACTTTTTAGTAAATATTTATTATTTTTTGTTATTTTATTATAGAATGACTAAACTATTGGAACCATATTTCCCAAATTGTGGCTACCCCCTATATATCGGGGGTCAGAAATCCGAATCCGTCGAAAAAAAAGGTATGTTTATTCAGAGAAATTACGTTTTTGCGTCTGATTTCGTAACTTAAATTATCGTCTGCACTTATTAAGTAGCATTTTAGGTCACATCCTGGGGCAATTAAGATTGAGTCCTAGAACGTGAAAACCCGATCATTAGATCAAAAATTATTCAGAGTGGTCTTTTTTTGAGCGCTGTACGATTCTGAAACACATTTGAAGAGGGTTGATAATAAACCCTTTTTGTGTGTGACGAAACCCTTTTTGTATAAGTCATTAGTGTTAAAGCAAAAAGGCAAAAAAACTGTTTCTTAAAAACATTTATTATATATTTTTAAACTTTACCAAACAAAATCAACTTTTAGTATCTTTTTTAATGTTTTGCGCAAACGTCGATAAATTTTCTCTAATAAAAAGCAACGTGACTACTATCCTGATTTAGTAACTGTTAAACAAAAATAATTAGCAAATAATACTCACGAACAATGATTTTCGAAGCTGAGAATGACTGGGTAGTCAGATGTTTTAAAAGCACAATCGGCTATCGCCTCTAATACTTCCTAAAAAAGAATTGTAAAATTAGATTAAGAAAATTATTTTTTCTGTCAGAATACTGTGATATCCAGTGTCCATTTAAAATTATATTTGTATTATGTTCAGTCAGCATGTGTTTGCTTCCTTGGGCGAAGCAATACTTTGGAATACAATTATGAGAGGAAATACATAGCATCAAAGACCAAAATGACATTATAATTTCATTGACTACTTTGGATACCTGCAAGCAGCTTCGCTAGAATTCTTAATCTAATATTACGGTAAAATAACCGGGAACAGTCTAAGTATCCATCTTACCGAAAAGTGTATGGTGTTGAGAAATTTATTCATTTTTACAGCTTTGAAACCGCTTGCAACTGTTATGGTAAAAAACCAGCGAAAACAAAGCGTTGCCGTCTTGAAAACATGTTCAAACCTGTATCGTATTGAATACGATTCCATGTCGCGGTTTCAAAAACCGTCTAAATGAAATTCAGCTGGACTTTGGAGTTACATTGGAGTATTGTTATGTTAGGCCCTTTTTTATTTTTTACTTTTTTTATTTTTAGGAAATGGACATTGAAGTTATGTTGTGATTTTGACAAAGAACCTTGGAATGTGGCAGAATTAATTTATCTAGTGGCGCCATCTAGTACGAGAGATAAGAAATGATTGACACTTTCGTATCAAGAAGCTCTGTGATGTTGTCATCTATGCGTGAATGAGAATTTTGTATTCCAATAGTTCTGGGTCATCAATTGAAAAATGCAGAACACTGGAAATTCCTTGAGTGTTGAAGGAATGGATGAAATGCTGTGGTATCAACCTCCGTCCAGCCGGTCAGAAGGTTAACAGATTTTCCCTCTCGGCTTAGGTGCATACCCAACTATAAGGAATTAATTGACTTTATAGCTATACAATTATTACCATAACATTATTTGGCTTGCCATAAAACTATTGGGAGTACAAGTTAGTTCGGTCCGTTTTCAAAAGATGGCTCTGGCTGTTATGCATGTTTCATAGTGACAGCTGGTTTCGGTGGTTTCAGAGAGGTTAGACATCTGTCAATAATATTCAGTTTATATCGCTTTGAGTTTCATATGAAAACGCTGTTTTTTAATTTGTTGAATATGTCAAATTTTGTGGTAATTACGCAGCATTTGTGGGAGATTTTATGCTTCTGCTTTTATTTTAAGAAAAGTGCAGCTGAAGCCCATGGAATGCTTGTAGAAGCTTATGGTAACAATGCTCCAACTGATAAATCATGTAGGGAATGGTTTCCACGCTTCAAGAATGGTGAATGTAGAATGATGAATGTTGAATGTAAAATGATGAATAGTGAATGTAGAATGGTGTTGTATACTGTGAGCTGCTACAACTTAGCGATTCCATTACGGGCGAACGGTATAGACTACAATTTATTCGCTTGAGCCGTGCATTACGAGAAAAGCGGCAGTAATACGAGCAAAGACATGACGAAGTTAATCTTCTACATGATAACGGGCGGCCTCATGTCGCAAAAGTCGTACAAAATTATTTGGAAACGCTCAAGTGGGATATTTTCCCGCACCCTCCATATTCGTCGGCCATTGCTCCTTCTGATAACTGGCTGTTCCGGCGGATGCAGCATGATTTTGCAGATCACCGGTTCACTTCTTTCGCAGAAATTGAAAATTGGCTCCTAACTTGGATCGCCCCAAAAGACGGGACGGTTTTTCGAGATGGAATTCAAAAATTGCCTTGCAGGTGGGAAAAAGTAGTAGTCAGCGATGGAAAATACTTTGAGTAATCTGTTCACTCATTTTGTTCCGAAATAAATGCATTTTTAACCACAAAATATAGGACCGAACTAATTTGTACTCCTAATACGTTAGGCATCCGACGACGGAAAATAAAAATATAAATTCATAATCTTTATCACATGACTTAGCTTCCAGCTTTCGAAGAGCGTGCTCTCGACTCTCATTGGCTATGAGTCTAGTTGGTTCAGATAAAACTGTGGTTGCTTACCGTATTATGTGAAAACAATGATTTGATTGTCTTGATTGAACATGGTAAAATAAACTAAACAACTTGTTTTCCCCCTTTATTTCTAAGAAATTTCTAACATTGGATAGTAAAAAGTTTATAAAAAATTCAAGAAATTTTTCAAACCAGAGTTATTTTTTACCTCATGGACACTATAGATATTTCTTCCACCAAAACAGTTGCTATACACTTCAACAAAGAAAAAAACAGACTCTATAACTTTATTCTTATTGATGATCACTTTTGATTCGTAAGAACAAGTGAACAGATTTTTGAAAAAGCAGGAAAGAAGACCAAAATGAAACTATAAAAAATATAGTGTAAGACGACCATATTTCATCATGTACAATCATTTCCTGTAGTTAAGCGACCGGTGGTCTTATAATATATGTTATCCATCAAAATACTTATAAGTTCAAGGGAGTTTAGCAATACATTTCATCATTTTCTTTTCCCTTCTATCTTTTTGGAAATGACAAGGTTTTCTGGAAGGATAAAACTATTTCCTTTTCGAAAATACTTCCTTCCATAACTAGGGTGATTTCTTAACCCATAGAATTAAGTACAAAAACGTCGATTTTTTTATTTTCATGCAAAGTGAATTGATATAATTGTTTATGTTTAGAAAACTTTTTAGATAAATTTAAATAAATTTAGCAATTTTATTGCAGATTCTCCTATTTAATATATATGAATATTTTAAACTTTATAAACGTGTAAGGATTTTTTAATTTTTCTTAATAATTTTCTTCCGATGAAATTAGTAAAATGATTAGAATTTATTAAGTAGATAAGTTGCATGATGGTTTGTAAGCTTCAAAATAAGTTTTAATTGTTTTGAAAAATTAAATTTAATTGTTTTGAAAACTACTTGAAAATCATTATTCATTTAAGAAATTGAATTTTTAAGCTATCTATTTAATTCTCTGAATTCTCGCTTAGTTATTAAGTGGATCAACACGACTCAATAAGTAGATCAGCATTTTAATCAAGACAACGAAGATCTTTCATCACCTCCATAGTGTGATTTTATTATTAAGGTTCAAAATGTTATATCGTACGCCATTATTTAATCCCAATATAAACTTATTAATCTGATGCTTTTGAAATGATATTTTCTTTAATCAAAATTATTTTATTTATGATCAACTTACATTTTCCAGTATATATTATAAAAAACTGCACTCAAATAAGCCTTTTTAACGAAATTCAATGATTTGTTGACCAACATTGAACTTGACCAAGTTAGCTGGCAATTATTCAAATATGCAAATTAGCTATTTCTGCCATTTGAATGCAGTTTTTTAAAGTAACTTTTTCTCCAATTCCCACCTACACCGATTCGAATTCCGCACTTGGTTTTCACTGACCACTGTGCTAACATAAAATATCCTCAGTGGTAGACGGATAGAGTCCCCTTGCTGTCAGGCTAACCATGGGAGGTTTTCGTGGGTTTCCTTTCCATGGAAATGCGGGTTAGTTCCTTCAAAAAGTCCTCCTCGAAGGAAATTTCTCCCAATACTTCATCCACGAGTTACCTTGTCCTCTGGATCGAGTTCAAAATTACAAGGCTACAGAGTTGAACATTGGTAATCGGAAACACTAAATTGGGCCAGCTGTTCAACGACGGTTATAAAATAAAAAAATATGTTGATATTCATTCGGGTATGAGAAGGGTGGGTGTGTTGTCAACTCTTTCAAAGGGCATCATATTAACTGAACTACTATTACCCCAACAGTAAGAAAGACTGCTGATAAAAAGGAAAGAAGTTCCATGCCTCTGATCTAGATTCGAACCCGGTACCTTTCTGACATGAGATCAGCTCCCTGACCACTATACAGTCTGGTAAAAATAACAACTTATGCTTAAAATAAACTTAAAATATGCTTAAAATAAAACAATTCTACGAAAAAAAGTACTGATTCAAATACGTACGAATAACCAGTTTATATTGGGGAAGCGCCCCAAACGGCGTGCGACGATATGTTCGAATGTGGATTGCTCTGCGATTCTTAATCCATATGAGGTGCTTTACCTCCCAACCATGTCTGTAGCCACAGAGCGTAATTCTTCCTGTTTGGGAGGTAAGAAAAAATAATATCAACACTTTGATGTCAATTCACATTGTTAAAAATTGAAGCCTTCACGGAGGTTAATGCTTCAAAAATTTCCTGACCAACGACATAAGTGCGGTAGTGTGGTCAACACTGCCATTCAGCCATGTTTACTTTTAAAGCAAGCTGGTATTCAGCTATTTGAAGCTACGATTGAACCGATTTTAGAAATGGTCCTGTCTAGTGCCGTCCATTGCGCTATCGCCACTTTCAATGTTATAGTTACAATACGTTTTTTTCCCCGGTAATGAACCCCTATATCTTTAACAAACTTCTAAAGCGTATAATATCCTTGTATCTATGAAAAATTGCACTACGTACATTTGGTAACATTAATGGTACTAGCTATTAAATATCAAGTCTTTGCTCTCAGTGATAGCAGATTTTAAAATCGTCATTTTCTTGTGCCAATAAGCATTTTTTACAGCAATATGTATTTGTTTATTCCGTAATTGCATATGGAAGAAACTTTGGGTACATTTTTGGATAAAGTCTAATTTTTTGAGCAAAACAAATATGCATGCGATTGTTGTTTACAAAAAGGAAATAAGTGATTTTTCTCTCCTTAAAACTGCACTTAGTGCAGGATTTATATAAACGCAAAAAAAAAATATTATTTAAATTATTTGATCATAATCTTCCAAATTATGTTAACATTTACAGCATGTATAATATTGCTAATCGGCTGTTTTGAAAAGAAACGCTCTTATTATGAAAAGAAAAATTAACGTTATATTACGTTAGTAACCGATAAAAAGTGTTGACCATAAGAATAAATTTATGCACCATAAAATGCAGGTTTGCTCTTATTTTTTTTCGTAAAATACATGGCCACTGATCGTAAGTTAACACTGTGCATATCTTTTACAAATTATTTATTTTCAAGTAAAGTCTTGAAAATTGTTAAAGACTTGAAAATTGTATAATACTGTTCTCTGTCAAGTGAAAGTATCTTTGTGTCCATCTTTGAGAAGGGCACTTGGTACTTTAATTTACGTCATACTAGAGCTGCACAATGGGCTATTGGCGAAGCTCTGGAAAACATCCCTGAGATTGATCAGGAGACAACGTGCATGCGTCACATCCCGTTTTACAGGAGGACACATTCACATACCATAAATCGATCTGCAGATCGTAATTTTGACCTAAACCATAGCACGATCAATCTCCGATATAGTATCCTCAAAGGTATTGATTTGTTATGGGAACTTGAAAGACATTGTGACCCAGACCAATACACCAATCACCATATTATACACGTGGAGTCTTCGGCAAGCGTAGATCGAACTCACGACCTTTCGTACATGGGTCTAACGCCCTACCAGTTAGGTTATTCCGGCTCCTCATTGCAGAGGGAATGCGAGGGACATGTTTTTCTGCGCTAGCTGGCATTAAAAAAAGAGATATTTGTTCAGAGAAATGCTGCAACCACTCTGGAATAGGGCGTATACCTAGGAATTGCGTTATTGAGCTTTATATAAAAAAACCATATAAATTTAACGTCAAATTTACTAGTTTAGATGTTCTATATATTACGGCTTTGGGCAATTTTGATTAAATAAAGAAGATGGACGTACTACGTGTTCATTACCAACTCTCCGAATTTGACAGAAATTTTCTTTGGACGCTGCAGTGGTGACAATATTGGCTCAACTTCCGACTTTTCGGTTTATTTGTATAATGTGCGTAAATTACTTAATATGATATGTAATATAGTTGATCTTTTAGATAATGTTGACTTACTTTGAGCAAAATTTCTGACACCACGGTGTACCCGTGCGTGATAATCGGTTCTTCATCCGAATTCCGCCCATTCCAACAATCCAGCTCAACGCATCTGCAACCAGTCAATAGTGTTTGTCGGTACATTTCGACGGAAGACTTTCCTGTTAGTTGATGACCTGGAGATGAAAAATATATACCTCAATCACTCAAATTTGTTCTGATTAAAGCTGTTTTGATCTATTTCAGAGTTTTGAAGTGTGTTCCCATTTTTTTTTCAAATTCCTCTCTTAACCTAAAATTCTAGTTTTATACCGAAAATGTTGATGGCAAAAGAAATTTAGCATGTCGTAGACATTTCAGACTGACAAGACGCATAAGTATCAATTTTTGTTTCTATTTTCTCCTTTGGATAATTCCAATTCAATGAAATCAATTCTACTTTGAAGAATATTCTATGTTTAGGACAACTTGTCATAAAATGTTTAAAAATCTTAAGGTATTTGTTTTAATTTAAAAAAATTGGAATTCATTTGCTGAGGTAAAAACTTTGATTTTATTACTAAGAATTTTTTGCTGCTACTTCAAAAAAAAAAGAAGAAAAAAACAAGGCAAATTAATGTTTAATTGTAACTTAATGACATTGATATTTTACACAAAAACAGAGATGATTTTTTAAAAAAGTAGACTTTATCAATCGGTCAACTAATAATGAAACAAATTTTAACTTTTTTTTCTTCAGTAAGGTGCAGTTTTAAATATCTTCCATTCATATAATAATCATTAGTGAACATTTTTTCAATCAATTTTACAGTGATTACGTGTTTTTAGCAAAGCGTATAACATTGCTTATAAAATTGTTAAATATGTGATAAAATATATTTTGTTAGTTAAGTTCATAACTGAAAAAATATCAAAATCAAATTAAACAATCGAAATTTGCTTTACCACTGAGATATGTGTTGTGTGAAGAGTTGATGAAGTAGTGACTGAGTGGTTGATCCATATTGTGGTTCTGATCTAGTTTTTCCAATGACACGATTGGATTATCATCTCCCATCAGATACCTTAAAAATCCAGTTTCTGACAACAACCCTGAAAGAAATACGATAGAATAGAAAACATTAGAAAGAAACACCGAATAATCGCCAATTTAATTATAAAGCTGCACACAGAAAATTCTTCATTAAAACTAAGAATAGTCAGTTGACTTCTTTTAAATTACTTCACTTAAATTGAAAAATTGAAACAATGAAAAAACATACATAGTAAATATAACGATGAAACGGTGTACTAGAAATGTGAGAATAGGGTCTGCATTGCCAAAATTATAACAAATTAAATTAATTATTTTACATAATAAATATTAAAAAAAGGGTTTGAAGAATGAAGTTTTGAGGGTAAACTAATCAAATAACCTCTGAGTATCTCTCTCATTCTCTGTATTCATATATATATACATATATATATATTGTGATGCCACAATTTGGCATTACATATGTATTTCCTATCTTTTTAAAATATCCTTCATTACTTAAGCTTATTTTTATTAATAGAATTATTTTTAAAATAAANCTTAAATTGAAAAATTGAAACAATGAAAAAACATATATAGTAAATATAACAATAAAACGGTGTACTAGAAATGTGAGAATAAGGTCTGCATTGCCAAAATTATAACAAATTAAATTAATTATTTTACATAATAAATATAAAAAAAAGGGTTTGAAGAATGAAGTTTGAGGGTAAACTAATCAAATAACCTCTGGGTATCTCTCTCATTCTCTGTATTCACATATATATATATATATATATATATATATATATATATAGAAAGTTATAGCAATGACACAATTATTCTTTCTGAAGACAAAGTATATGATCCAATATTCTACATATCGTGCTTATTCTTCAAACTTAACAGTAATAATAACTAAAAAACGAGTACGAATTTGCGATTCTTTGTGTTATTTGCAAGCATATTTTAACTTAAATGTTGTTTAAATGCATCTTTTTTCTTTAAACACCGATTATTTAAAAATATAAGAAATGTCTTTCATAAATGTTTAATAAGAAAAGCCCGAATTGATTTATGAACGGATAAAACAAATCAAGCAGAAATATGAATGATATTTGAGACGATTTCAATTAACCAATCACACAAACAAATAAAATTAGACAGAAAACTATTAAAATTCTCCCTGAACCATTCTCATAATCCACAGTAAATTTGCACTTTTATTTTGTTTTAGCATTTTCATTTCAAAACTAGGGATGTATGTTTCACGCAGGAAATTAATTCCAAGTGAGATAATAATTTATTTTGGAAATTTTTCGAGATAATGTTTGACAACGAAGATTCTTTCCCTTAGGGGGAGGATTCATGCGCAAAAATTTACTCAGGTATTTTCATTAAATTGAGTTTGGAAAAAAAAAAGAAAAACTCATCAAGTTTCATACAGAATTTTATAATTGAATTTGTTCCATAACAAATATGAAATAAACTTAAAGTAAGTTGACTTAAGACGAAAAAAAATAGTGTAGCAATAAATATTTTCCGTATTATGTCATAAAATCATCAGGAAAACTGCAAAAATAAACCTAACTGATAACACTTTTATTTTAGTAGAAAAAGAAATAGTAAACACATAAAATTTAATCCTTTGAAGCAGAATTTTTTAAAACAGATTTTGTATGCATTTTTAAAATTTTTTTTGGTAATAATTTAGTTCAAAATAAGTTAAAGCTTTTATATTTAGCATTATAATAGCTTATGTTACGAAATACATCTTGAAGCACCGATGTTTTTTTCTGTCTTAAAGGTAAATTCTTCAATACGCGACTTAATTCTAAACAATAATTTTTCAAATCTGCACTTATTGGCAGTTATTTAGATCAAAAGAAACAATTAATTATGCGTAATTGAAATTTCCTTAATTTACAAAATCAATTATTGATAAGTTTTTGAATATGAATGAAAAAAAATACTAACTGCTCTTTCTGAATTTTATATTTTAGTAAAAATATAATTCCAATAAGCTTATAAAAGTTTTTGGAACTATTACACTATTTTATAATAATTAAAAAATACTAAAATATATTTTTGCTTGTAGTTAGAATGTCAGAAAAAATGTATGAAAGGAACACCAGTATCCCATCTGCGTCAGACGGTTAAGGATGTAAAGAAAATAAACCTTTAAAATTACATGAGATTAAAAAAAATTGCTACAACTCATTTCATGGGACATAAATAAATAAATTTAAATAATTAAACAAATCTCCCAATTGCTAATGGAGATTCGAAGAAAAAAATTCAAACGAAAGTATAAAAAATATTACGGCATGAACTGTTGATTTTTGCCATCCTTGAGAAAACTTGAGCGAAATGAGCAAATAAAATTGGTTCTTGCCACATTTAATCTTAGAATGTAAGTAAGCAAACTTTTTAAAACCATGTCCAAAAGAAATACCTTTCAAAAAAAGATGAAATAATGATCGAGAACATGTATGGACGACTTATTTATCAACCTATTCAAATGGACTCTTTTTTATTTTTGTCAAATTTTAGTTTGAAACATAATTATGGTAAACTTATACAGCGTGTTTAGAATCATCTATATTTAGCGATATTGGACAACAAGAGGTGAAATAATGAGTTTCGAACGTGCATGTAATTTTTTCAGACTTTAAAATGAACACTGAAAATTAATTTATTTGTGCCAAATATATGTCTACATAATCCTTATTGTGAACCTACGAACGTTTTTAAGAACCGTCTTTTAAGAATGAACATAATTTATTTTTTTCTAAACTTTTCTAAGCAATTATAATTTTCGATAACTTCCTACATTTCTTGTTAAAATTTCAATTTCAGTGAGCTAGTTGCTAGTCGTAAAGACTTTTGTCTTCTCTTTTTTATAAAAAAGAAAGACATTCACACTCAATTGAAATCTTCCCATTTCCTTTGATTCAATCAATTTTAAATTGCGTTAAGAAAATAATGGTAAAATAATTTTTATAGAGGATGGTTTTAAAATTATTCATGAAATCAATGCTACCCTCTCAGAAATATTAGTTCTTCGGTAATCCGTAATACCAGGTTCTTTAGCCACAATGTCAAGTGCTACCTGAATTAAGCGATAAATTGTGCGATGTATCGTGTAATCATGGTACTAGATGTTATATGTTACAGTTTTACATCAAATATAGTTTTAAGTTATAAGTATCATGTTATCAAGTTTATTGTTTCCAAATGAATAAAATAAAACTTGCATGAGAAAAAAAAAAGAATTCACCTTCTATTTTTTAATGAAATTCCCCTCTAACACGCAATTATAACGAAATCATGTTTATTTAAACTATACTATAAAAATTATCTGAAGTACATTTTTTTAAAAATAAGTAAACACGTCAGTTAATAAATTAGGCACAGTTAAAAGTTTCGCAGATGAAACAATGGGATGATTCCCCGGCATGGATGTTTTGGAACCCACCCCAAACTGTTCAAACGAAACTGTTCGAAAACGAATAATTGGTTTTAATCTTAAGAGAAAAGTGGAGATATATTCTTTCCTTGCCTTTTTGTTATAAATAAATGATTTTGTATAACACGAAAGTTTTGAAAGCAAACTTTTAATTTTAATACGAAATATTTCCCTATGCAGCACCGACAATATTTTTTGTCTCTTTTTCATCAAAATAAAAATTTCTGCAAAATATACATTTAGAAATTAGGAATTTGTTTGGTGCATTTAAAATAAAAGGATCGAACCACATTCAGTACGAATGCTCCTAAGATTGTAAAAATCAGAATTGTATTTAATTTATCTTGAAGATTTTATCTTTTTTTATTGTAGTTTAGTTTTCGAAAAGAAATATTTAAAATATTGATACAACAATTATTATTAATTAAATAATGATGACGTCACGTGGAAGTTATGATTTGAATCAATCAAAACTCGAACTGTAAAACGATTAATAATCGTTAACGTAAACGACAAACTTTTCAAAAGAGGAAGAAATTTGGAGTAAGTTGCAAAAGCTCCATGACGTGGAACAGGCCCACAATCTATATTATATGGAACGTTTATACGTTCGTGGTTATAAAATCTAGTATGAAACAAATAAAATAAATGAAATTTCTTTTCACGGCTGGCATAAGCATGAAACAAAGCAGAAACAAAAGAATTTCCTCAGGGCAACTTGAATCAAACACTGATTTCAACTTTAAGTTTTATTTCAACTATCAAATACTACTTTAATTTTAACCTTTTTTATGACTATGCTCATTTTTCTTACTCTTTTATCTTATTCTTGTACATTTTACAGCTTTGTGATAAAATAAACGATTTATAGCTGTTGTGTTTTTGAACACTGAAATTTAGAGTTGCGTACTTTAGAAGAACTTCTGACGTACTTAGAATATATGAAAAAACAATTTGCAGCTTCAAATTAATACTGAAATATTTAGAATTTTGTGCATAGAAAAGTGCAAGGAATTATTTATTCTAAACTTTGGTATTCAAAAAAGTATATAAACCTAAACGGAAGTAACGTATCCAATAAGTAAGCGAAGCGAACTCCGATTGCGAAGCAATCCGATGGGAGCTGAAAAAGCTGTTCCGAGGGTTGGCGAGCATTTGTGAACAGAGAGTAGTGCTTCCTAATAAATTATTATTTCTTTTACTAACAACTATAAGTTCGAGCATCAATAAACAGAGGAGGACTAAATTTCATTTCTCTCAAATGAATTGACGTAAATTATTAGCAAATGTTCGCCGAAATTAATTGAACGAAAGGAAACATAATTAAAACAATTAATATATCTACAATGAAATATAAGGGATTCTGACAAAAATTATTAATCGCAACCTCCATTCTTTATATATAAAAAGGCTATTTCTAACTGTCATATCTTTCGCCAAGCAGGGTGTCTTTTCCTAAAGTATGTATCGCCATGGGTATCTTCTTACAACGAGGCACCATAAATAACAACTCCATGGAGCACTCGCTTCCAAACAAAGAATTGTATGACTTGATTAATGGTGTGAGTTGGCGATTTCTGATGAATTGCCTCCAATAATTTGAAACGGGAGCTCTGAAGCCACTTTGGTAGTTTTGAAGTTCGGAAAGGATTGCGTTCATGATTCAGAATAAGATCAATGTTATAACGAGAGCAAAGTTCTGAGCTCTATTGAGCTTGTGACTAAATAGAATAAACTAGTTCGGCGATCTCTTTGGAACCACGTGTAATTAATCAAATGGAAAATTAATGGTGGATGAAAGCAGGAGTTTTTAAATATGCATAAAAAACTACCTTAAAGGAAATGTTTGAAGAATATTTAAAATGGCTTGGCTATGTTGTTTGCATAGAATTTTTGAGAATCGAGCTTTTTTTGTGATTTTTTTCGGCAGTGAATTTATTTTAAAAATAGCTCTTTTCAAATTGCTTTTCTAAGTAAATAACAGAAAATATTTTACTTTGATATGAAAGGAGTTATTTTCATCTTCGCTTTGGCTAGTAATAATGTATCATGCGAATTATACATATGCTTTTTAATGTATTTTTATGCGTCTGAGTTGAGTATATTTTCTATTCAGGAATTTTAAGCTATAGTTTAATTTATTATATGAGCAACAAATGGTCATCAATTCAAATTTTCCATTCAAATTTTTTCGGAATTCAGATTTCAGATCAATTCAAGATATTCCCATTTGTTTGTTTCGGATCAAATTTTTACTGAAACTTGATGGTTCTAAGAGTAGTTCTAGAGTAATAATAAGAAGGAAAAAAGAATAAATATGGTTACAGATGAAGCAGATTCAAAAAGTAAGGCGTCTATACTGTTAGAAATTTCGATTAAAATTCAGAGAAAAAAACAAGATCCTCTTTAAATTACTCAAGCTCTTGTTCAAACGCAATAACTGAGTTTCTAGTTAAGAATAACAGAAAATATCAGTTTCCTCCCGTGCCTTTCTCTAAATGGGCATTCTTTCTGATAGTTCAATCTGCTGTTATTTTTTTCGTAGGTGAGATACCGCCCATCCCATTGTGGTGGTTCAAGGCTTTGTCTTCCACTGCCTTGGCCGGGGTTTGTATCCCCGTGCATAATTATTAATGATACATTATTAAGAAGTAGAGAACTTTAAATGTTTTATTTTATAATCGATACGTTTATAAGTTTGGTGTAATACTTACCTTTTTGAGCCACGTTCTTATTTGGCTCGTACTGCTTTATAATATCTCTTGCTCTTGCCGGATTGGCATATGGATACAATATTTCATTTAGCCTTGGGTCTCTTTGCTCTTTGTTTAAAAATTCTACTAGTTGGTCAACTGTCATACCTTTTTTCTTTCCTCCACATCTGAAAATATTATATATTCGTTTGTTACAGAATTACATAACAAAATAATTTGAAGATTAAAATTTGTTAAGACATATATGTATTAAAAAAATAAGAAAAACTCTTATGTTTCGGCACTTTTAAGTCTCGGATATATTTAATTTTTATACATTAAAAAAAACAAAAATAGATCTATCAATATTTTTTTAACCCATAGAATAATTGTTCTATTTAAGTGAATTTGCAGAAACTATTTCGGACTAAACGCAGTTCTGTATTTATGCGAATCCTTACCATGTGTTTGAAAGGATAGAATATGAGAGTATTCTTAAGAGTAAATTTAGAAAGAAATGTATAGCGAGCTAAAATAAAACTAATTTTTTTTATCATACTATAAAACAAAGGAACATTTTATTTGGTTATCATAAAACAGAGTTTTCGAAAAATTACTGCTGTATTAGCAAGATCAAAAAGAAAATAAAGAGCTTTTGCAAAGCATTACACTTGAGCTGTATAATTTTCCAAGAATCACAGTATCCCTAGGAGATAAAAAGAAAGTAAGACCAACTCAGAGCAAAATATCAGTTTCATGAGATTAAAATTCTTTTGATTAGTACGTTGCGAAAAAAAGTATGGCCAAGGCTACAAGAATATGTTAACTTTAACCGTGTTTCTGGTCTTACGGGAACACTAAAAAGCTCGGCAATTTTAACCGAAGCCCTTTTATAAATACTTGGGTGAAATTCGCAATAAATTATGGTTTTATAAGGGATAAAATTTTGTAAATATGACATAATTTGTTAATTTTTGATGATACCTAAGTTTATGGCATAAAAACCATTTTTTCAGTTGAATTTACTTTTCAGTTTTGTATTTTTTTATTAAATGAGTGGTAAGAGGAGTTACACTTTTGAAAACCAGAATTTCCGATATACCGTTACCATATGAACAGAAACATTATCAAATGTATGGTTTAATTATCGTATGCTTTGATTTTTATTTCAGAATTATGGTCCTTACCCCAAGAAATGCCATTACCATACATTACGGTAATTTTACCAAAGTTTTTTCTCCATCCGGGTAGAATACAGCCTCTGTTCTCTAAAAAACAGCCCTAGACTGGTCTACGTTCTTTTCCTACATATATTTGGGGAAAATTTATCCTCATAAAAATTGTTATGCTATAGTCATAAAAATTATTATGCTATAATAAGAAATATTTAGCTTAGCAAATTTAATCGATCGTGTTTACTTTTATGAATTACGCTTTTCTGATTATTCAAAAAATAACAAAACTTCTAATTCCAGAAATTAAATTTTTTTTGGAAATGCATTTTAAAGAGCCCGTCAACTTCAGATGATTTTAGTTAACAAAAGAGGAGGTCGAGAGATTGCAATAAGCATTTTTCTTAAGAATTTATGAAAGAGAGAAAGAAAAACACTCTACGCAAAGCAAAATTTGCTAACGAAAAAGAAAGCTAAATTTTATTTTTGATTACATATTTTCTTTTCGAAGAATAACTATCCTTAAAAAAAGATAATGAGAAAATGATCGTTTGCACATTCCATCACAAATATGTTCCTTTATGTTTCGTTAAGGGGCAGAAATAATATTTAAAAGAGTGTATATTTAGAGTGCATATTTTTTAATTGCTTAAAAACCATTACAAATAGTTTCCGAAAGATCGTTTGCTCCCAGCTGTCTCTGTTACTTATTCACTTTCAATAATTTTTTTTTTTATCGTCAAGTGCCTTTTCTTGTAAAATAAAATCTTTTTCAGTTCAAAATTTGAACGACTTTTCATTGAGTTTCAGACGTCAATATGGTGAAAATGTTGCGTAATGAGGCCTTTTTGTTTAAACAATGGATTGGGGAAAAAAAGAAGAGACAAAATCCTAGTTCTAAGAACACGTAGGCATTCTAAAAAAAAGGACACTGAAGAGCTACTGGTGTGTAATTAGTTTTTCTAGAGTAATGTTTTATTTTTCTGCTTTTGTTGCTTAATTTTCTTAGTCAGAGTCGAAAGTAGCCATTTTTCTTACTGAAATTGAAGGGAACTATCAATCGAAATGATAGTGAGTTTAAGCAAACAATGTAGCAAAATAAAACTCATTATATGCATCAATTATTGGAGTTCCTCACTCATTGAAACTTTTTTCGAGAAAGTATTTGTTAAGTAAAGTTCAAAGACAAGACATATAGTGACTGTAAAATGAAATTTCAGTCATCATTTTTTTAATTCTGATAAAGGTATTTTTCTATTTTTTTTCATGTACTAGCAAAAATATCTTCAAACTGAATTCATGAATTATTAGGAACAGAATTAATGACGAAAAAATTAAATTAATTAATGGATAAAATTGGTGAACAAAAATAATTAACAAAATTAATGAATTCTAAGATAATTTGTTCCATTTAAACAACACTGAGGTTTTTGCCTCTTCTAACATCTGTACTTTCATTCTCATTTTCCTATTTTATGAAATTATTGTTCATGATATCTAATGTATCGGATTTGCATCAATTTGATACAATTTACTGAAAACATTTCGTAAGTATTTTTAGTTATTGAAAACATTTTTGATTATAAAATATTCCAGCAGTGTAGATTTTAATAAAAACAGAAGCATTATAAATAGTAGATATTTAATTTCTAAATATAAACTGAACTTTTATATTAGTATTTTTCAAAAACGATTTATTTGTAAGAAATTTTATATATACGATTAAATTATAGCATCTCTTTGAGGTTTTGTAAGGCCATTTTTATTTAGTGTAAAAATATACTTACAATTTCTCAAATATTTTATCAACTTCATCTCGGCCAGCCAAATGTCGGTAGAAATTAAAAAAGAGATCACTTGGAAATTTTTCTGCTGGAATGGTATCATTCTGCAAAAAGAACACATTTTTATTAAATATTCTTCTCATACTAAAAACAATGCAAATAAATCGCAATGGTAAAAAAATAAATAAAAACTGTTTATAACTTAATTGTTTAGTTTGTATACAATAAATGAAATTTAGAAATATAGTATTAATTTATAATTAATGCACCTTTTATGTTTTTATATGAGGCTGGAATAACCTGGTTGGTAGAATGTTGGGCTCGGGTTCGTGAAAACGATAGTTCTAATCCCGCAAGGCTGAAGATACCTCGTGTATTAAATAGGGACTAGTGCAAGTTAAATCTGACGGAGTCACAAAGTCCTCTAAGTTCCAAATAAAAAATCAATACCTCTGGGGGTACTGAACTGGAGATTGATCGTTCTCTGGTTCAGGTCAAAAATACGATCTATGGATGAATGCATGGATGCATGAAAAGGTACGCTCTATAAAACAGGCTGTGACATGTGTGTGGCTAAAATCGTATTTTGACCATAGATTGCGCCACTGAAAAACGAGAAACGCACCCTCTACCTTAAATTCACTTGATGCAGGTTTGCTAATATTGGCATGCTATATTAGAAACAGCAACGACAAGTTTTTATACTGTGTTTGAATAAATCTCTTAAAAAATAATGAAATGTTTATAAGGTACATTAAATGATAATTTGATCTAATAGTGATTGTAAGGCTTTTATCAATATATTACCTCAATTAATCTTCACATTTAATGTTTTCAAAATAAATAATCTTTAAAGTAATGAAAACATCTTATTAATTGATTTGATTTATTGAGCAGATATTAATTGAACTTTACTTGAAATGCTTTTATTAAAAAATATTTAAGATAGCTTTTTAATATTTAATGTTTGCAATTAAAGGTAATCACTAAGATAACAGATATAACCATTACATTTTAAACGAACAAAATCATTGTCAATATGCATATAAACCTAGCAAGTAGGCCATTTTAAATCATAAATTTATTCATAAATTATTGATAAGGTATTTCATAAGACACTGAATCAGTACTTGTAAAATTGATAAGCAGATTTTGCAGTCGTGAATTTTTTTCTAGAACTAGAAATTGCTTATGAGGGATTTTGCTCAATTATATTTTACCAATAAAACGTTTAATTTGAAAGTGAAACACCTGATCTCTTAAACCCAGTATTTTTATAAATATAAAATGGTTATTGTCCTAAAAAAAGTAGATACTCAAAATTCACGAAACATTCTTCTTTTTTGACAAAACAGTTTCCTTCAAAATGCACCAATTAAATATTTCCTCAAATTGAGAAAATTAATATATTCACACATTTGAGGATATAATTCTATCAAAAGCATGTAATATGCATCAATTAATGCGACAAATCGATTACGCAATCGATTAGGAAATACAACGTAAAATAAAAAGAATATGAGGGATTGAGACTATTCTTTTTGCAGTGCTAAGAATAAAACCCAGAAAAAGTTTATAAGCAGAAGCACTCATATTTCTAAACTCTCCGTCGTATACTATAAACAGTTTTGAACTCAAATAATAAATTTTTTTGTCAGTGTAATATTAATATTAAATAATTTCAAACTAATTGAATTTTGTTTCGAGCATTCATATTCTTAAAATATCTTTTTTAATCTTTGTTTATTTATCTACAAAAACAACAGCAGTTCTCAAAATGTATTTAATTAAGAAGAATCGTATTATATTTTATCAATAAATATTTTCAAAGTATCTCTACGAACTATGATTAAACAAGACATTTAATCTACTAAATAACACAACAGCGCAACTTTCAGTAACAGTATAATATGTTCAATTAATTTTACGAGGTAAAAGGATTACTATTATGTCAGCAACCTATAAAGATATCAACCCATCTTTTGCTGCGATGAGATAAAGGAAAACTCAGCATATTCTTCGAAGGTAGCTCAAGAGATTGATTATGGGTTCTTTAAGTATTAATGCGTCTGAAGTAACAGATGTCAACTTATATTTATGAACAATACATCACATTAAGCATCTCTTCTATCTTTGTCTCAAGTTAATCGAAACACAAGACTGATGAGATATATTTTCTATGAATACCTTATTTTTTGAAAGATGTAATGGAATTTGAATTATGCTGGTTATGTAAAAAAAATAACAGCATATATTGTTTTTATTTATTAGCAAAAATATGCTAAAGTAACCAGTATTTACTTAGACACTTCATGCTACACTGTGAAGAAAAAATCCCACAAAATATACGGTTTTAAACCGGCAGCTGGGTTGGTACTGCTAAACTGAAAAATTTACGAAATAATTCCATAATCAGACTAATTTCTTACCGTAAAAGTTTTTACAACTAAAACAAATCTGCTGTCATAACAAACTTTTACCATATGAAAACAAGATTTCACTGTGTAAGTTACGACGTAAATCTGTACTCGGTACAAATGTTAATATTTTATGTTCGCAGAATTTGTATCGACCAGCCATCGCTGGGACTCGAACTTGGGTCACTTCATTTAGGAGTACGCACTCTGTCCCCTGAGCCACTGCCACTCAAGTGTTTTGTTATGAAGAAATTGTGCTAATGAGAACTTCGCTTTAATATTGTGTCAGTTTGGTAGTGAAATTCAATCTCAGTTTTATTAATACGATGTAGAAAGCCATAAAGTAATTGTTAAAAAGTAAGGGCAAGTTTAGGAAGTAATCGTTAAATGATGAGAAAAGATAAAACTATATTACGGAATGGAAAAGACGGTTTCAATTAGAATTTCACGGTTTTAATACGCTTGTGGTTTGGGTGAAAAATGGAAAAGAAAACAATTTCATAAAAATAACGGCTTCAAACCGTTAAATATAAGGAGAAATTGGGAAAATACAACGATTATTTTTAGCATTTTTTCAAAAACATTATGACGTATGAATTTTACATGTAAGATCTTGCGTAGTAACTGAGTTTCTCAAACTTTTTCGTTCAAAATGAATTCAGTAGAACTTCTACGTTAAAGGTCATGAATTAATAATAAATATCGTTTCAATTGTAATGAAAAAACATTTTCAAATAACGAATCTTTATGAAATATAACAGCAGAGAGTTGGAATTCGGTTAATTAAAATTAATTTACTTGTCAGATAAAACTGAAGGTGGTTACAGTAATCACTCTATCATATATAATTAACCCATATAATTAAATACTGTATTATTTTATGCATGGTATAAATATCTATGAATTCATTTTTCGAAATAAAGAAGGGTTTTTTTTAATATAAGGTTCTTTTTTCCTTTGCTTTGAATTTTTTTCCTTCCTACGACTGTAATTGACTTGCTTACTAATTAGTTTGATTTTAAAATGTTTTTATTTTTCATTGTTTACTAGTATTTTCCGAAATCATGTGTGAAGATTCTAATAATATTGTATTTAGCAAACATTTTTAAACCATACATTGATAACGGTAACTGTGATAATGGAGAATTTCGTATCTGATATTTATTTTATTAGAATAGGTGAATTGCAGTTCTTCGAATTGCATTTACACCCTAAATGTCATTTTAAAATTTTATATCTAATTCTAAAAAATGTCATGCGTGTCTTAAGAAGTTTAAAGGGATTAACGTTTCAAAAATATGCTAAATTTATAAAGTTTCCAGAGGACTTATTTAAATAATTTTAACTTTCTATTTATCTATTTTTTTTTGAATCTTTAGTTTCTCTTTAGTGGCATATAGTATCTAAAGAGAGTAATAGTATCAAAAGATAATTTTCGATATACCCAATACTATTGAAAAAGTGTATTAATACCACTTGATACAATGATATATACCGTACTTGATATATACTGCAGAAACGATTATCGACATGATACAATAACTTTCAAACAATCTAATCTAACAATCCATTTCAGCTTATTAATATTGATAGTGATACAATATTATCGATATTTATTTGCAATTTAGTAAACTCTTTTCGCTAGTTTCGGTAATTATATCAATAACTGTGTTAGACTTAAGTAATAATTAAGACAAATCATCTTATAAAGTTAAATTTAGATTATTATGGTACAGATAAAACCAAAATTGAAATATTTAATTATAAAAAGAATTAGCGTGCTGTTATATTTAAATTAGAAACAAAGGAATTTCGCATTAAATATTAATTTATAATAGTTGTAACATTTTAAGTTCTTCGGAATTAATAATAGGGAACTTGACGGCCTAATATCCCCCGATGATTACGTATTTGAAATGACCCATGAATCACTATTTCTTCTCTTAAATTATTGACCCGCGGTAGCCTAGTGGTTAGAGAATTGGACTGCAGTAAGAGCCACCGAGTACAAGTGCTCGTGAAATCTGTGGAACCGAAAGACGTGTGGTCTGTCGCTGAGTAGTACCGTGGGTATCGGGTTCTCGAGAAAAATTCTTTTCCTTTCAGATCTATGTCTGAACTAAGTGGCCTCACGAAAATTGTAATGGCATGTTTTCGGATCATCCTCAGGGGTGCTTCTCAGACAGTCTCCAATAGCCCATTCTGCAGCTCTAGTACGACGTAAATAAAGTACCTGCCTCTTAAATTATTTGTTGATTTTACCTCCAAGCTAAAAATCGTTAGTTCACTACACTGAAAAAGGTATGGTCAAAACAACTGGAATATGGTAAAATTTACCATTTTCCTGGCACCCTGGGAACGCCAAAAGTCTCGGTATTTTTTACTGAAATTATTTGGTAATAGTTAGAAATTTTTTTAATAAACTATAGTTTGATAACACATGATAAAATATAGTAAATATGGCAAAATTTGTTAATTTCATCATGATACCGTAGAGCATGGCTTAAAAACGATTGATTCGGTTAAATTTACTTTTCAGATCTGTACTTTTCACTATATGCGTGAACTATAATTTTGAAAATTAAAATTTCTGGTAAACAGTTTCGATGATCGGAAATATTACCAAATAAATGGTTTAAATACCATATAATTTAGTTTTATGAATCAGAATTATGGTGAGTTTTACC